ATGTTCGTGTGATTGGAAGCCTTATGTATGCTATGAGTTGTACAAGACCAGATATCTCTTATGCAGTGTGTTACCTTGCAAGGTTTATTAATTGCCCGGGTATGGAACATTGGAAAGCTATCACTAGAGTCTAGGGATATCTTAAAAGAACCAAACATTTGGGACTCTATTATAGCCGATTTCCTAGTGTTCTTGAGGGTTATTCTGATGCCAGTTGGATATCTGAAAGTAATGATAAGAACTCCACCAGTGGTTGGTTATTTTTACTTGGTGGTGGTCCTGTTTCTTGGGCATCAAAGAAGCAAACGCTTATAACTCATTCCACTATGGAATCCGAGTTTGTAGCTCTATCCTCAGCTTGTAAGGAGGCAGAATGGTTGAGAGATCTTTTGTTAGATCTAGAAATTTGGCCAAAACCTATGCCGTCGATAACCTTACATTATGATAGTGAAGCAACAATGTCTAGATCATTGAACAAAGTGTACAATGGTAAATCTAGACATATCAGTATAAGACATGAATATGTCAGAGAAATGTTGAACAATGATGTTGTCTCAATTGTGTTTGTTAGAACACACAAAAACTTAGCGGATCCATTGACTAAACCTCTTGCGAGAGAGTTAGTGGTTTCGACAACATCTGGAATGGGTTTAAAACCTTGTATCTAAAATTATTAACAATGGAAACCCAACCTTCTTCTAGTACTACAACTAGATTGAAAGGTATAAAGGGTAATAACAAGTTGTTTAGTAATAAGGGCACCAAATCAGTGTATATACCATTCCAAAGTATTAGTGCATTATGTTACTCTTACGTGAGCAGGTTGAGAGCAATCTCTTAATGTAATTATTCGTGATTATTCAATTACGGTAAAGTAATAAATTTGAATAAATTTCACCTATTTGACCATAGAAGTGGTGCCGCTTCTAGCAAGAGTTTGAGGTTATCTCTTGTGCATGGTCAAGCTTTAGACGTGATTGAAGATGTCGCCAGAGCATTGGCAGAATTGCATTCTCATGATCTTTTGTATGTTGATTTCAAACTAGAGAACATACTGTTAACTGAGGTATTCAGTGGTTTATCTTTTGTCTTGGTTGGTTTTTTTTTTTTTTTTGACTTTTTTGGTAACTATTAATATTTTGTGCTCAACAGGATTTTCAGCCTGTGCTGTGTAACTTTGGATCGGTAGTTAGAGCAGGTGATCATCACCCCGTGGCTATCGTAGGTTATGCAGAGCCTATTGTTTTTACCCAGAGTAAGTAGACGTTTCATGATTTCTGTTGAAGGAGTTGTAGTTATAACTGACTGAAATTTTGATGACTTTTTTTTTTTCCTTCTTTATTGTAAAAAAGGCACTGTCGATCAGGCATCTGATGTATATGGTGTTGGACTGGTGGCTTACCATATATTGATGAAGAAACAACAAGAAGAAGGAGTTCGGCCACATGGGGCTGCTTTGATAGCCGAAAGGCTTAAAGAAAGACATCTTTCCTTTATCCACGAAAATCATGTACAATTGGCTGCGGTGGACATTTATTTAGCTATGATCAAGATCATAGGCTTGGCTGCTAGTTGTGTGGCTGGTGAAAGGGGATCTGGAGAGCAGTTGAACCAACTCATAGGCGGCTTGCTGGAGTCCAGGCCTAACGCAACCAAAATTGTTGGCATCATTGCACACATTAGGCAGGAATTCCTTCCCATGGCACCACCCGCCCCTCACCATCATCCACCACCCCCACCACCAAGAGATGAAGATAGGCAGAAAGGAAAGAGATCAAAAATGTTAGGTCTCATGTCTTGCATGAAGCCAAAAACAAAGTTAGTACCTTCACTTACTTCTCTAATACAGTTGAAAAGAATTTCAGAAAATATGCTCACACCAATGCATTCCTTTTGCATTCTTGTTGTAGGTGATGGTTGAGCACACTTCCTAGTTCCTCTTTTGCTGGAGTGTCTATCTGCCTCTCATGGACACAAGACAGAGTCTGTATCCAGTGTGCCCCCTCCTATTTTTTGCACTAATAGTCCTTATTGTACTTTTTTTCCCTCAATTTTTATATATTTTGCAAGTTTAGTCCCTGTGACTTTTTTCTCTCTCGTCTCTAAAAACATCTCTATCTTTAAACGAGCATTTCTCTAAATTCGTAAATAATTTGTAAACAAATTATATATGAAATTTATAGTACTCGTCGAGATCTATCCAACAAGATCTATAGTGAATATTTTTTCCGAGCTTAAAAATAATAAAATTCTGATGGGCAGAATGAAGGTGGATATCTAGTTTTACAAGATGGATAACCAAGTTATTAAAAATTGGTTATCCGTTGTGTTCATACTGATTATCCAACCGTTTAAACTGGTTATCCAACTTGTTTGTGCTGGATATCACCCATTTGGTTTGTATGCCTATCAAACTTGTTTGTAATGGATATCCCACTTGTTTGTACTGGATATCAATTTCGTTTGTACTGGATATCAAACTCGCTTGTACTGGATATCCATACATTTGGTTTATATGCTTATTCAACTAGTTTTGTAGTTGTAATCCAACAGATTTGTATACATATCCAAATTATTTGTGCTGGATATCCAACTCGCTTGTACTGGATATCCAACTTGTTTGTACTGGATATCTATCCATTTGGTTTGTATGCCTATCCAACTTGTTTGTACTGGATATCCATCCATTTGGTTTGTATGCCTATCTAACTTGTTTGTAAGCACTGGATATTTATCCAAGTTGTTTGTAGTGGATATCCATCCACTTGGTTTGTATGCCTATCCAACTTGTTTGTAATGGATATCTCACTTGTTTGTAATGGATATCCATTTGGTTTATACTGGATATCCAATTCGCTTATAGTGTATATCCATCCATTTGGTTTTTCTTTTCATTATTATTTTTTTGAAAAAAAAAGAAATGGTTGTCCAACGCGTTCATATTGAGTACAAAGACCAAATTTTGTTGAATAGGTAAACAAATGTTTCGTTATCTCATGTTTCAAAAAAGGTTAAACCAAACGCCTCCACATAATTTTACACCTCGTTCCCTGTTTTTACTTCATTTGTTCCATTGAAGATTAGTATAAAACTCAGATAAAACGCGTTTGTTGGGAATACTAGTTCTATAAAAGTAGAGAGATAAAGGTAAAATCGAAAAAATTGTATTGAATGCTGCATTGAAAATGAAGTGTCACAGAAAAGAAAAAAAATTGGATATTAAGAAGGAAAGAATACAGAGACATAAAATTAACAAGAAGTAGGATTAAATTTTTTTGGATGTGAGCCTCTGTTTGTAGAGAGCTTGTGATTGTAATTCTATTCAAATTCTCTTCAAAGGACAACCAACTTTCTCAGAAAAACCCTACAGAGTCCTCTCGAAAATCACTCCCAGTGGGGGTTATAAGTGGAGGCGGTCTCAACACATTCCTCAAAATATTTTGTTGTGGATTGTAGAGATAGTAGCCATTTGAATCCGCGGTGGTGATTACGATTTCTCCCTCAGTAGAAGATTTGGGAGATTTTAATAGAGTAGATTGGGAAATCTAACTTAATGTTGTGTAGTTTCGCCTAGTAATCCCTTGAAGGAGAAGAATATGCATCATCATTCATAAATCTCAATGTCCAATTGTCCATAATTCCAAGACTTTAGTTTTCCGCATGATTTCCTCATCAACAAGGCAAAGGGTGCCTTTAAGATCAATCAACTTGATGGGTAGCTCATCGGACTCGAAGATGACGGGTCGCGAACTGGTCCGTCGATAGGGATGTGATTCCCAATGTGGGGTTGCGGGACCATCAATGATTTCAAACTTCACTCGCTCCAAATCTAAAGAGATAATGAGCTCTGGGAAAGTTGTGTCGTCGATTTACCGACGACACAACTTTCCGGCAAGGACAGATGCGACGGACAGTTACTAATAAGTCAATAGATGAAGCTTTGAATTAGGATTCCGTTGCATACATACGGGGACAAGCTTCCTCAATCAGTTTCCATGAGGAGGATTCTTGTGTTTAGCTTCCTCAATCAGTTTCCATGACGAGGATTCTTGTGTTTTTACATGGGACGTGTCACCAGTTTTGAAGCAGAGTTTATGGGCCACATACTTTATTTCCTCTAAGATATAGCCTCTGGGATCAGATCTTATCAGTTTTGCAACTCTCACCAATACATATTCCCTATTGGTCGCAATGTATCCAAATACAAGTTCCGCAAATGCACACTCGTTCCCCACGTATAAATCCACTTCTCCTCCTCCGTACATAATTGGTGGAGAAGGGATCACATGAATTTGGCGCGTCCTAAGATTGAACAGGTGGAACTCAGCATTGTGTTTGATGCACAACTAATCACAGTTGATCGGCAAACACATCATTGATATCCCTGAAATGCAAGGATACTGGAAACTTGTATTGATATGATCTTCAGGAGTACTCTTATTATTATTTGTGTCTCCGGTTGTGAATGTCGCAAACCATGGATCGAGCGCGACGTTATGGTGCATGAATAGTTCACAATGAACCCCAAATAGTACACTTATAATAGTGTTTTATAATATGAATTCACTTTTTCATTTTCAATAAGACACTTTTTAGCAAATGTCCTAATGCACATATAATAAGACACATTTTAAGAAAAGTGTCCCACCATAAAGGTATTAATAGCCCATTTTTGTTGTAGTGATTCTAATGCTCATCTTTCATTGTTACCTCTTAGAGATGTATGCTTATCGTTGAGATTTTTAATAACAATTATCACTTGAATTTCGGAAAAAATTTTCTATACATGGCGCAATTTCAGTTAATCTCCGTTATGATATAAACACAAAGCCATATTTTTGTAATACACTCCCATCTAAAACGTGAAAAAACCTGAATGTTTCAAACTAGTACTTTGTCGTTGAGACCAAATTTTGTTGAATAGGTAAACAAATGTGTGGTTATCTCATGTTTCAAGAAAGGTTAAACCAAACGCCTCCACATAATTTTACACCTCATTCCCTGTTTTTACTTCATTTGTTCCATTGAAGATTAGTATAAAACTCAATTAATCATTTTAAGATAGCAATAAATAGACATTTCTCTCATTCTTTCTTCTCTTAGATACAGGCTTTCATGGAAAGCTTAAACCGCGCGTCGCCTTGTAAAAATTTAGGATAATAGCTTCCAAACATGATCGTACCTGTTACTTAGATGAGCATCTAATTAAGGTCAGATACAACGCTCTTAAACAAGGAACAGAATCTGAGCATCAAAACACTTTCTCGGCACCGGCATTGTTAAATTACACCATCCACCCCAAGTGTGTCGTACAACTCTGTTTTGGCCATGAAAACTGACTCAAAATTCTGAAAATCCCAGTTCGGACGAATATATAAGGCATAAGTACTGGGTTTTTCCTCCTAGTCAATGAATTTCCTTGCTCCTACTTATACTCCGCTTTTTGATTTTGGTTGTGATTGTTGGAAACAAGAAGGCGACTTGCGTGAAAAGAAAAACTACTGATAATAGTGATCCCCAGAGCTTGCAAGGACAGATGAAGGAACTAAGACAACAGAATGCTCTATACTCAAAAACTTTTCTTCCAAGTATTTCAAACCACTTCAGTCTTCCTTCTTATCTGGTAGATCAATAGCTGCCAGTCTTTCAACAAGCGGTGGATGAGAATAGTGATAAGCTGAATACCAAGGATCAGTATTCATGGCGGACAAGTTCTCCTCCTGCAAAGCCACGAAAACCCATATTAACAATTTGTGAAACCTGGAAAAGAGCAATTATAACCCATTTTGCAAAAGCACTTAGAATCTTTGAAGGTTTTGAAGTAAAGGTTTCCAAACAAGCTTTGAGAACACATTGATTTTGTCCTAAAATCATGTCAAATGCCATGTACAATGTTACAGAGAAATATGCGAGTCATCCTTGTGGATTAATACATAACCAAAAAAGTGACTTTTGAACACGCAACACAAGTTTGCAAATTGAAACTATCCACAATGATCTCATTCACAAAGAAAAAGACCAAATAACAAATGGTGCGAAGACAATCAACTACAATCTTATACTGTCTAATCAGGACACCATCAATATTCCTTGTGAAATAACAAAACAGAAAGGTAACAGCATGATTTTTTCATAATCATAAGTGATATTGAAAGGACATTTTAAGACAAATTACCTGCAACTTAACAAGGCCAGCTCGAAGGGAAGCAGCATAGCCCAGCTTCTTAGCAAAGGCATCAGCCTATCAAAGAACAGCATCATTAGATCAGATACAAATGAAATGTTCCATGAAAATTAAATAAAATTGTATGTTCTCTTTTTCAGGCCAAAATTTCGTCTGCAGTAGTAATAATCTCACCTGGAACTCAAATGATCGGCTGATAATGTTAAGACCAAGGCTAACAAGGTGCTGCAGAGGTATCACAGTGTGCTACAACCAACCAAATCAAGTAAACATTCATCAATTTTCTTGTCAAGGAGTGAAAGAAAATAAAGTTAATCACTTGCTTAACACTTTAGACTTGCATCCTCTTAGCATTATATAAAAGGTTAAAGATCTCTGTTGGACAAAATACACAACAAAGATTCTTAACTGTATTTCGGAACACATTCTTACCTGAAATATGATAAGCCCTATCAAAACTGGTTGTGTATCAAACCCAAAACTCAGAAATAAATCCTTTGAGTTCCTCACAAGGGTGTACCCTCCAAATTGCAAGAATGTTATGATCTGCAGCATTGAAAAAGCAAATTCAGCTAAAGAAAAAAAGAAAACAAATTCAGCATGAAGACTTTGGGAAATGCAATTTGTTTAAAGGTCATTATTGGAAACTCATACAAAAACCACCAACTACTAAGCAAGCCGCATCCTTACATCAGGTAAACATGAACGTTCCTGATCTCTAATAAACACATTAGACAACATAGGATTATAATATTTGTAAATGAATGTCACAAAATCCACAGCCATCCTTTCAAAATAATAAGACTCCTAAGGAGCAAAGCCTCATATACTAAGTGTAGTTAAAGAAAAACTAACTCATAATTCAATGCTATGTCATAGATTTACAATAGACTTAGGTCAATAAAAATTTCAATTTCACACGTAAGATATTTTGGCCTTCATCACTACACCCATGGTGAACTAAGAACTATTCAGTACCCAGATTTACAGTAGTCTTGGGGAACAAAAGGACATGAAGCGATTCTACACAAGGGAAGTGTTACTTTTTAATGAACACACTAGAAAGAGGATTACAAGTTCTTATGTGAAGATTCCAAAATGAATAAGCATATTTTTTAAAACTAAATGGCATTCGCGAGCAAAACCTCACATACAAAGTGTCATTAAAAACAAAAACCCCACGTTCGATGCCTCATCATAGATTTACAATAGTCATAGGTCAATAAATATGCTAATCACGCAAGATATGTCATCCTTCATCACTGTAAACATGGTGAATATCAAATGCCATTCAACATGCATCAAGTAAACATGAAAGTCAGTACCTAAGAAGTTGAGCCTGGACAGAATACATCAAAGGGAACAAATAGGCATCAAGAAATTCTAGATTGGAAAACTTAAGATTTTTCCAGGGATTCAAGACATTTACATCTGCCCAAACAGCGGTTTCCTGGGTGCAAGTATCATTACTACTTTCTTCTCATTGAAAGAATCCTTCCAACCAACGAATGAGAGGCAATTGAGTGGAACACAATGTAAGAGCATAATAAAGACTATTGGCCTTAGATGCACCACCATACCTGGACAGCAATGAAAGAATACATGGTGTGGTTCAATTTCCAGTGCCCCAGTTCATGAGCAATAACAGCAACAACTTCCTCATCATTCTTGCACTACAATTACACAATTCAAAATATAAGAATCAATAACAGATACTATTGGGAGGGAAATATTGTTAAAACGGGACCTCAAAAAACCACGAATGAGAAAGTCTGACAGTCTTATTCGTGACTATGTATCTTCCAAAATTTACAACCTGAGAACTAAATTTGAGACTTCCGACTTGCAGAAAACAAAATCCATACTGCGAAGTTGACAAAACATTCTCTCCTACAATTCGATCCCGGCAAAAAATTGAGTAACTGGAAAAGCCAACAGGTATTTTATAGGACAAAGGCAACTCTAGATAAGAAACTCCAGTCAACAAGAATGTAAACACTATGCACAGATACTTAACATGCTTTTGGAACCTACCAATGTCATAGTTACCACTATACAGGCAATTACCTAAGATATCTAGTGATTTCTCCATCCAGAATCAAACATTTTCCGTGACCAAACATAATTTATTTATCCTGTACTTGCTAAGACACAAATTTCTCCTGACCATTCTGTTCCAGTTAATTTAAGTTAACCATGGTTAAACAAGCAACGGGCACAAAGATTTAGCCTCTGCATAATGGAAGTAATAAAGTATTTTGAAAGTATCATTTCGTCTGATATATAAGCACAGTAGGAAAAGGTTTCAGAAACATAATATCAATACCTGCTGAATCAATGTGTCATAAAGAACAATGCGTTTATTCTTGAAGAAGCCATACATGTATGCCTGCAGAAAATGCCACACACCAATCAAAATCCAGAGGGGTCAGAAATGATACAACAAAATTTTAAAAGAAAAAAATAGAATCGATCCATGCATCTTTGAGATAGAAAACCGTAAAAGCTATCCTTGAGATAGAACATGAAGATTACAAATAAAACATATCCCATTTCCTGCAAGCCATCCAACTGGCTTTATCTACTGATAAATTTTCCTAAGCTTCAAAAAAATCAGAGCAAAAATGATTTTGTATATATGGTGAAAATTTGAGACCCAAAGATACTACATTAAGATATGGCTGTAAGCCATACAGCTCATCCAGAGAACAAATGAATCATAAAATTAGCAAGCTTCCTGATTTATAAGTTTCTGATTATCTCTATAAAAAGGTTCCTTTTTAACCAAAAAAAAAAAAAAAGGTTCCTTGGTCACCGTATTTGACTACTTGCACTGTACATAATGAATTTCGCCAGATAGCAATTACATACATACCTAATGCATCGAATTTGCTAGATGAAGTCTCTACATCTATAAGAACTCGTGAACTGGAAAGTGGCTACACAATTATACTACCATTTCCTAGGAATCATGTGGTAACCTTTCTTTTTCAAGAGGGTACTCCATCACTAACAACACATCTATATATAACGAAACAACAAAACAAGAAAGGGGTGTGTGTGTGGGGGTGTGAAATTCAGTACGAGAACACAGTGAAAAAGTGTTAAGAGAACGGCAATTACAAATCCCAGTAGAAAGAAATGAACCTTAAATAAGGGAAAACAAGAGAGATAAATTTTATATGTTGTACCATCGGTTCATATAAGAACAAAAATCAGAACATTAGACAAAGCAAATTTGTGAATCTTACAAAGCTTATACAATACAACAAATAACCATGGCCCATTTTTTTTAAATAGAAAAAACAAAAATATTTGATGCAGAGCCATTATAATAAAATACATAATGTAACATGCAAAAGACAACAAACAAATAAAGTAGCTCACATTGCTGTGGCTCGATCTTGTTGACCCATCAACAACGAACAGCTTCTTCAAAGGAAACTTCAGCGAGGAAGCAAGACTCTCAATTTTGCTTCTAAGCTCTCCATCTGGAAGCTATTTGTTCCCACCAAACACAAAAGAAAAAGAAATAAGGGTGGAACATTTTAGAGAAATACTCTATTGTTAGTTAATAATCACTTTCCAACTGCTTTTTCTCCCTTGTTCTCAAGAAATAACGAGCAGCCGTTTTTTGTTGCCATAAGTAAAATACCATGCATTACTTACTGGTGTAAACTTGTTGAAAAGTGGGGCTATCAAAATAGGATACAGAGTCATCATCACAATGGAAAGAACAAACATGAATGCCCACAAATATGTTGCCAGGTAAGGACCTCCTTTCTGCACCAAATGAGTAAATAACATCACTTTCAGTACTCCACAGTTGCTATTTGTAGTACTAAGAACACCAAATTCCAAATATCCTCGAGAGAGTAACATAATAATAATGCAAAGGCTGGGTGATAAGGGTACCTGTACAATAATAATAATGGCGGCAACAATGGGCGGGCCAATCACCACAGCCAGAGCAATTCCTTTAAGCATGTCTTTAAAGAACATCCCAATTGTTTGCTACACCAGAGAAAAGTCGTTAAATAAAATTTGAACCACCAGAAAAAAAAGATAACTGCTGACATTGACAAATAGAAAAGATCTAAATAGAAACTAAGAAACAATAACACCATACAAAACGGTGACAGATCTAATACATACCTTGTTGAAACCATGGCGTGCCTCAATTACAAATGTTGAGTACAAAGAGAATGGTAAATCGGTAATCTGCATATACACAGTTGGAAATAGTTGATTTAGAACATTGAATATCAACAATGACATAAAATTACTAAACCGCTACTGATGATAATAGTAGTCAATCTTTTTTTGGATCAAGCTGTAAACCAAAATATTCTCAGTTGACAGTTTGCAGTGCGATGGGTTAGAAGCTATCCGTCACAATGTTCAATTGTCTGTTTCTTATGGTGTTTACCAACCAATTCCAAATGTCTATGATAATGAGAAAAAAAAGGAGCCTAAGAATAACTAGACATCAAAACTAACATGTAGCCAGTGAACATGTAAAAGGTCAGATATACATTTCTGTTATATAGTACAGGTTCACAGTGAAGAGAAGACACAAATGCTCAAGCACCTTCCAGCGGTGAAGAGGAGATTTAAAATAATCACCTGCGACCAGAACATAACACCAGCCAAAAAAGCAAGCGTGTGCAAAATTTCATTGTCTGCATTGAGGCCAGCAAATACCAGATATTCTCCAGATTTCTGCATCAACCAAAAGATACCAATCCAGAAGATTTCAGTACCATAGAAGAACATACATAATCACCCACACAAGAACCACACCAAAATTCCAACAGACAGAATAGATCAGTCCAACACGGTATAATACTCACCTTCCAGAACCAAGGTAAAATTCCAAAGAACAAAATTGCAGAGTCCATTAGAACTGTCACGAACTCGTGAACAAAATGGAAGATGCTGAAAGGAATAAATGCAGAATTAATTATCTAAGAAATGATTGGTCAAAGTAAAGCCATTACCTGGGAGGGACATGAAAAGACCATTTTACAAAGGAAAATGAACAAATCATACCTCTTGTCAAGACTATAGGCTCGAGATTTTTCAAACTTCTCTTGGCTGATTAAACCCACTAAAGGTTTAGGCAGTGTAGGCAACTTAAGAGCTGAATGTTGGCGCAAATCCAGATAGCTCTCAAAAATGTACACCAATATCATGAAACCTGAAAATATTAGAAACTATATTCAGCAAGAAGTCAACGTGATAAAAAGTACACAATCACAAAAAATGAAAAGTTAGAACCTAATTAAGCAAGAAGTCAAAGCGACAAGGCTTTCTAATTCATATGACAATTAAATCAGAAGAACAATATAATTTTCATCACATTCAAGGAGAGAAGGACCTCAGTGAAGGAGATCATCCAGTAAACAACACCCAATATGACATGTGGAAACAAACTAATTTTCTTAAGACAAATTTAGAAATTATCACACTGAAAGCACCACAGTAACTCCTCTTTCCAAGGGCCATCCTTTCCTTTTCCATTCGTATCAAAGTCACAGTCAGCCGTCTTTCATTTAGATAACATGTTTAACTTTAAAACTTCAATCCTTGGTCAAAATTCATATAATTTACGATATTTCAGCAAACCCATTAGCATACTCACCCATGTACATGGCACATGATAATGTCTCTGTGGAGAGACCGAGACCGATGTCTTTTAAGTCTTTAAAACAGCAAGTATCCACACGGTAAAGCTAGAAAACTAAAGCAGAGTGAATCATGTGTCCAATTACCCCCCAAAAAACAGTGCAACTCCTCAAGTTCAACCAAAAAGGGGAAAACTTGGGAGTGAGAAGGTATACATTATTGCAAGCAAGAGCTTAACTTATCCAATCAACAATTGAAGTTTTCATGAGACTATTCAGTAGTTCACAACTGCTCCACCACCTTGCATTACTGGTTAGAAGTGTATGCAGGCTAATGTTCACATGCATGGCATCAAACAAAGTGCTTTCACATAGTCCCAACCATGAATCACCAAATCCCACTATGGAATTCATCATAAAGTATAATCATAAACACTTTAGTTTTACAAAATCATTAACAATACATCACAACTTCCTAGTCGTACCTACACATATAAGCTTAGATATGTGGTACCTAAAATGGGCAGAACCATGATTACCATAGTCTTTAATCATGTATCTTCATTTATACACCAACAAAAAATGGTTGCTTTAAATGCTATCGATGAAACTGCAGCCGATAACTAACGAGTAAAATTCATGGAATTATACAAACCAACAACAAGAGAAGCACGTTCAGTGGCAAAATTACCATCATTTAGCATAATAACTAAATATAAATCATTCATATTAACTGTCTATCTCATTCCCCCAGCATTACTACAATCTAGTATTTACAACCTAGCTCAACACAAACAATGCCTGAGTATTGCAACCAAATTCATAATAGGCATACATTGATTAGACTACAATAAACGGGACCAAGAAAAACCCAAAAAGCAGACTGTAAATCAAGTTTACAACTAATCTACCAGAGCAAGAAACCTCAAAACCTAAAACCCTACAAACTAAACCTATCGCGGTGTAAAATCACTAGAACCGGCACCAACTGACCATAAAACAGGGAAGAAAACAATCAAAAAAACCAGTTACAATTGCACAATAACTCGACTCATCTACCACAGTGACAAAAGGCGCGAAAGATAACATGAATACGAAACGCGTAAAGTATCAATCTTTTTCTATGAAACAAACAAGTAAAAGTAAAACCCTCCCTATAAAATAGGAAAGAATTGTCACTGTATCCGGGCGGTTGAACAGCTAAAGAAGGGGGAAAAAAAGGGTTAAGGGTTTAAAAGATAGAGAGAGAAAGCTTACAAACGACGGATTCCATGTAGGGAAACGCCATGGCTGGTGGGCTGGCGGGCGGTGCTCCGGGAATTTGGAGATTGTCTGTCAGAGACGGAGGAAAACTGTATGGGAAGAAGAATTGTTAAAAAAGTGTTCTTTTTCTTTTTTTTTTTTTTTTTTACTGGGTTTTGTTAGAACAGAGTTTTCATAACAGTGGAATTTAGAATTTTATTATAAAAAAAAATGAAATACATTATGCAATGCGATTTGCACAGGTGTCTTTTTGTCTTTGGATTTTATTTCTAATTCTATATTCTGATTATAAATCCATTATTTTTTTTTTGAGGAAATAAATCCATTATGTGTTTAATTACATTGTTTGTATAATTTGTTTTTAACTGTATTTTTTTCATCATTTAAAAAAAATGTAATTTTTAATATTTTAAATATACCCTATAGAAGATTCGTTAAAATTCAAATTCCTTGTCAAGTGATAAGAGTCTTGACCATAATTACTTCTTTTGTTATTTCCATAAGAATAAAATGAATATTAATAAGAAACTAAAATTATGAAACAAAACAAACAGTACATAGAATGTCATTGCAACAAATATTTTCTCATCGACTAATAAAAGAAGTGAATAGAATTTTATAAATTTATTATGCATATATCAAAAGTTTTTTTTTTTTTTTTGTGGGTTAATACCAGGAATTAAAGTTATATTTTTATTATTCAACCAATCATTAGAACGGGTACCAAAAATATAAAGATTAGATATCTCAATGATACAATTGTATACATAGTAGAACTTCTATAAATTAATAGGGTTGGGATTACCAAAATTTATTAATTTAATGAATTATTAAATAATTGATAAATTAATAAATTATTAATTTAAAGAATTTATATGAGAAAAAAAAACCTGTTACTGAATTACTCCCTCCGTCCCATAATTATTGTCCTGTTTTACTAAAAGAAAAGATTTTATTTTTGGTCAAACTTAATTATATTTTACCTTAAACAATCGGATATACCCCTACATAAGTAATTGTTTAACCACTAAGATTTTATGGATAATATTTTTTACTAAGGACAAATGTGTAACTTGATCCATAAAAAGTCAAATTGGACAATAATTTTGGGACAAAATTTTTTGGGCAAAGTGGACAATAATTATGGGACAGAGGGAGTACTTAATTTACAGTGGTCTTGACAACCGAATCAGTGAAGTATTAAAATTAGACTAAAATCTATACATAGTTCATATTATTTCCTGGAACTAAAAAACAAGTATTCATAGTTCATATTTGACTAAATATATTATAATAATTATTATTATTTTATTCTTAAGATATTTATTAATTTATTATGATATTGTTGGAACCTATAAATATATAGGAAATTTTCTGAAATATTATTATTTTATAACATATTCATATTGCAGCCCCTAACATTGTCTGTGTTCTAAGTAGGCACAAGCACCACTCTGTATTCTTTCACAGTGCATGAGCAATATTAACTCTTCACAAATGAGCACTGCTAAGTCCTCACACATCAAAATGAGATTCCATTGGCGATGATTTCATGGCCAAGTAAAGAATTTTCGACCGGAAAAGAAATCACATGAACTGATTAATTTTAACTTTCAGGAGGAAGATTCGAAACTGCGAACTTCCTTCAACAACAATTGGGGAATCGATCAATTCATGACGCATTATTTGCAATTATTTACACTCTCTTTCTTTAAATAATTATCTTATTTGATTTTTCGTTTTTGATACAAGTTCGAGCAAAAATAAAAATTTGAACGAAAAAAATCATTTCCAAATGAAAAAGGGAATACTGTTTTGACATGTAAAAAACCGAGACTTGCGAATGCTTGCCTTTTTGCCTTTTGGCCTTTTGGTTCATGATAAGTAAGGTACAATGACCAATGGAATTTCAGGAGTACTCTCTTTTACCAAAATAAAAGTTGGGTTTGTTATTTTATTTAGTTTAATATGTTTTTTTTTTAAAAAAAAAAATACTCCTCTGGTTTTTAATATACGGTATTTTGATTTGTCCTAAATTTTACCTAGTATGTATTTTTAGTTGACGAAAGAAATCTTAAAAATATATTTTCACATTCGTTGTGTTCCCTTGATTGTTATAAAATATTTTTAAAATTTTTTTGTCAATGAAAAATGCGTATTAGGTGAAAACTAAGATAAATCAAACTGAATTATATCAAGGACCGGTGGAGTAATAATTTGAGACATAGAGAGTAGAATTAAGTATTCTGAGTGAAGATTTAAACTTGACTTATTGTGCACTTAATTTAGGGATCAACGTGATCAATGTAGAGCTTCTAAAGTAGATTCCAAGGGTTGGTCTAAAGGAGTTGCTAGCGTGCCTGAGTTCTTCACGGATGATTAACAAAGAAGAGTGAAATTTTTAATTATTTGAGGAGTGTTTTAGTTCAACTCAACAGCAATGAACGAGGCCAAGTTTAAAACGTTTTCCACTAACAAAGTCGAAACTATCATCCACTTCTTTGACCAAAGAAAAAGAGTAATTTTGTCAAGTAACTGCTTGACGTATTTAGAGTAAATTTGTTACAATTAAATAAACAAACATTCAACTCAATAAACTGATCCATCCCGTTTCTTTCCAATCTCCTAAATCACCATCTCCCTCCCCCCCCCCCCCCCCCCAAAAAAAAGAAGATGTAATTAACAATAATAAAAGGAAATGAAGCCAAGTGTTGATTGAGATCGATGTTATATATAGCCAACTAGCTTCAAGTAATTGTTCATAGAAAAGTAAAGAAAAATGGATGATGAAATGAAGAGTGCTCAACGACGTAATAATATATCTCCAGCCTATGGGAAGCTAATAGCTTCTGTTGCATCAACTGTTGTTTTCCACCCCATAGCCACCATCAAGGTATAACTATTTCAAGATCATTTTCTTCCCTCGGTTCTTTTTTATTGTGAGTTGTTTTGTTGTTTTAGGGTTTAGTAATATTGATAGTATTAGTTAAATTGTTTTGAAGGTGAGAATGCAATTGGGCAAGGGACCATACATACGGCTGGTCGTCACCAACATGCTTCGAAATGGAGGCATTTCGAGCTTCTACAAGGTAATCTATTCAGTGTTTTTAAGTATCAACTACTTTTAAATTCGAGGTTCATTTTTATCCGGCAGTTCTTCGATTCGGAGATCTCGTTAGATAAAATCTCTGGGTTTTAAAACTCTACTTGAGTTTTAGGAAACTTGGGCTCTGTTTGGAATATTTTTTTATGGTTTTTTAAAAATAATTAAATAATAAATGTCCCATCCCAATATACCTTTTTACATTTCCAATGCACTTTTTTATATTCCCAGTACAAAAAATACCTTAAAACACACTGAAAAAACGATCCAAATATAGTCTTGAAAATTTAGATGAACCCGTTAAAAGTCATGGTAGAATGTCATGTAAGTGCGAGTCATATGACCAGTCCGATAGAGTATTAACTGCTCGCTCTGTCCTTAAAAACTATTCCATCCGTCTCAAAATTATTGTTTAGTTTGATATTTTACTTTTAGTATAATTTAAACTAAAAATGAAAACTCAAACTGGACAATAATTATGGGACAGAGGGAATAGTTTATGTTTAATTTTGAGATTTATAATAATATAAGACGAGTAGGTTTGATATGTTAAAAAATAATTAAGGAGTTGATTGAACTTTTAAAGAGATTAATTACAACCACCACTTGTTAATGGCCATTTTTTTCCCTACTCTTTGAATAGGGGCTGTCTGCTAGGCTACTTAAGCAAGCAACACGTTTGGCTTTTACTCCCTTGAAAAACACAGACACAGCTAGGTTGACGTGATTATATTTATTTTCTCCGTCTCAAAATAAACTAAACGTTATATTGATTAAACTGATTTCGTATAATTTATAAGTGCCAGGTAAATTAAATTATATATGTACCTTACTATATTGTGTATCAAACAGGTCTTGGTCGATATATTCATCCCAAGTTGATTGTGGACAGAATATGAATCCGACGTCCTTAAATCTTCGGAAGTTTATGTTTCCAGTGACGATGGAGGCTATCCAATTCCTTCTAATTTCTCCCGCAGAATTAGCAAAGACTCGGATGCAAGCCGATGGGGCTACCTCCGTCTCTCCGCCGGAATTACAAGAATGTTGTGCATGCGTTGTATCAAACGGCCGCCGGTGAAGGAGTTTTAGCCCTTTGGAGAGGTGCAGTTCCTGATGTTTTAAGAACACTCGGATTAACCTCTGGACTTCTTGTCTCCAATTTATTGCCTCCAGCCTCGAGTTAAAGAGCCCAAGCGGAGTTCATTACTAGGTAACATTTATATTATTTGTCCATAACATGTACACTGCATTTATTTTTTAAAGGGATCATAGTAATTTTTCACTTATTCTCGACATGACTTGAACTCGTGATTTATTGAAAATATGTGTAATGTCTTATCACTAAACTGTATCTCATTGTTAAGGTATATACAGCATTTTTGTTAATATTTTGAAAAATGGCAATCCTTTAGACATATATACTGCCTGCCATGAATATTAATAATGATTTCTTTTAAATAGTTGTAGCTAGCTAGCTAATAAGAAATTTTACTTAGAATGATGTGATCTGTATCACCTGAACCATCAAGACATGAGAAGCATGTTTTTTTTTTCGTGACATGAGCGTAATTATGAAAAATTTTTGGTTCTAGATTAGTTATTCTTGGCCTAACTAGCTAGCTCTATGCATATCTGTTTGATGATCTTTTACAGTGGGCCTTTTAGTTTGTGGGATTGTGCCTCCAGCATTTGGCCAACCTTTTGATTATGTGAAAACGCAATTACAAACGATGCAGCCAGATGCTCATGGGAGATATCCGTATTCTGGTTTTCTGGATTGTGCCAGAAAAACACTTCAATTAGGAGGGCCACTTATAGTTTTACACTGGATTCTTCCCAAACTGCCTCACATTCTTTCCTAGTCTCATGGTAATTTTCCTGCTTAGCCTATGTTTGGATGATTTTTTAAGTGTATTTTTTTTTATATTGGGAATGTAAAAAAGTATACTAGAAATGTAAAAACGTGTATTGAGAATGTAAAAAAAGTATGTTGAGATGAGATATATATTAATTAAAATTTCTGAAAAAAATAAACCAAAAAACAAACCAGATAGAGCCTTAGTTTCATCATGTTTCATTTACGTTCCCTATTGATATTTACCTTTTATATATTTTCGAACAACAATCTCGCGGTTCCAAAATAACAGTTTGATATTTTCAAAACATGATTGCTCTTTTGCTCTCCAAAATTATCCTTTTTTTCCTAGATGGTCTCTTTGCTCTCCAAAAACCTATTTTCTAGAGTGGAGGCGTCCATCAAATCTTGATGCAGGATGATAACAAGAAATGACGACAAGACACCTCTAACAAAATTCGAGATATGACTACCTTAAAGAATTTGAAGTTCTTGTTCGACATAATTACTCTGTCAGTTTGGCCTTGCATTAATATAATGGACTCTTCCTAAACGGATGTTTTTGGGGTGGAATAACCTTAATTACATATGTAAGGAGTTGATTAGAAGTTTAGAGTTGCTTATCTATAGTTGCAACACTTCGTTCTTAATACGTTTTGAAAGATGAACAGCCCTTATAACGTTATACTTTAACAACATTCTTAAACCATTTGAGAAAATCCTATAAAAATTTTAACCCTCATCCGTGTGCGCCGTTAAAGATGCCGACATTTTACAGTATTTTACATAACACAATTTTTTTACATTCTTTCTAGCAGGGTTTTTAACATTATTAACAAGTCCATATATAGGGAGATTTCATAGCGAGCCAAAGCCATTGTTTGTTATTTTTCCATTTTTATAGTTATTTCTTTTATTGAGTTAGAGAGCATTTTCTATTTTTCCTATGTTTTTTCTACTTTTTTTTTTGTACTTAAAAAAATCATTATCCTACATTTAATAATGTTGATGTTCATACATCTGGGGAAAATTTACAAGAAATTTTAATAGAGAATGATGCGGTTGAATTTTAATTATTCCTGAACCCTTAAATGGATCTCAATACGTAAAGTATAAGTACGGACGATTATAATTTATTTTACAGGAAATTTTACATGTATAAATCATTATCGTACATCTAATGACTTGGTTAAATTTTTTTTTTAACAAACTCTCAATATAATTTATGTACTATTTTTTGTCAACTTATATAAGGAAGTAAAAAGTCTATCAAGCTTCTTGGAACATTCTTGCCCTTGCTAATAAATAAAACGAAATGGTTTCGACAACAAAGAAGATTTGGCGTCGACTAGTGCCGGTGAGTAGACAACAAAGTTTCTTCACTTTGCAGCTGGAAGAATGGTTTTGGCATAACCTTAATAGGAAGTTTGAAGGCTTTCCTGAGGACTGGGATTGCATTTTTGGGGTAACAACTTGGCGACTATGGTGCTGGCGGAATCGGCGAATTTTCGAAGGGGTGGACATTGGTGAAATACATCGTGTGACGGAGATTGTGAAGGTAGTCGGGGGAATTAAAGGAGCTTCTCAATATGAGAAGTCCATGCGTGGAGCTTGTGTCAGGTGGGAGGATAGGTGGATCCACTGGATTCCGCCGCCGGTTGACTAGGTGAAGGTGAATTCTGATGGCAGCTTTGATCCATCCATAGGAGTTGGCTGTGCGGGTGGAGTTGTTCGGGATTGCCATGGTAGATGGTTGGGGGGTTTTATGATGAAGGTCGGGTTTTGTACCATTACTGGTGCGGAGCTTTGGGGTTTATTCGAAGCCCTAGTACTAGCATGGGATCTTGGTTATAAGAAAGTGAAGGCGGAAGTGGATAGCTCAAGCGTTGTGTGGATGGTGAAGGGTGACGAGGAAGTATTAGGTATTCATTCGAGGATTGTAAGTGGGATTCGGGAAGTACTACATCGAGATTGGTTTGTGGAAGTTGACCATGTTTATCGGGAGGCGAATTTCGTGGCCGATTATTTAGCTTCTTTAGCATCTTCGGGCCCGGTTGGTCTGCAAAGATTAGTGTCACCTCCGTTAGGTGCCAGGCCTTGGCTGCAACATGATGTACTAGGGGTGGCATACCCCCGGAATGTAAGAATTTAGGCTTTTGCCTCTTTTTTCGTACCAAAAAAATAAATAAATAAAACGAAATGGCTGGTTTAAGCGTGTGGGCCCACCTACACCTGGCAGCTGATCATTCATCACCATGAAATGAATCCCAGCTCAAAAAGAAAAGTAGAAATAATAAGAAGACCTTTTCAAAATTCACACAGAAACCTCCACCGTCCCCCTTCCTAAAATCACAATCGAATTTCATCTTCCTTCCATGAGAGCAAATTGAAGAATTCTTTGGAAAATCTTATTAATCATGAAGAAGCAATTGATTTTCTTCTTCTTCTTCTTCTCCTTTACCGCCCTTGTTTCATCATCCTATTTTTCCCCCACCGATCATTACCTCGTTAGCTGTGGCTCCCGTGACCCGACAATTGTTGACTTTGACCACCGCCGCTTCACCGGCGACGCCTCCAAATCGGCCGCCTCCCAGTTTCTAACCGCCCCGTCACCGGGTCGAAGTATTGAGCTCGTTGATCCGAACCCGGCTCCGAATTCTTCCCCTCTGTACCGCACCGCTAGAGCCTTCACAAAGCCTTCAAGGTACGCGTTTGCGATTCAAGAAACTGGGGTCCACCACCTGGTACGTCTCCATTTCCACAGGTTTACTAATTCCAGTGTTTTGGAGTCTTCCACTCCTCAATTTCACGTTTTGGCAAATGGGTTCTTGTTGTTGAACAATTTTAGCCTTGGAAATGAGAAAAAAGATGTTGTTGTTAAGGAGTTTATTCTGAGGGTTGATTCTGATAAGCTTGAGATTACTTTTGTGCCTGCGGAAAGATCGAATTTTTATGCTTTTGTTAATGCTATTGAAGTGATTTCTTCTCCCAAAGATTTGATTACTGATTTGGCTCAGTTTGTGAACTCTGAGAGGAATGAAAGAATTGATGGAATGTTGAAGAGTAGTTTTGAGACTTTGTATAGGGTTAATGTCGGGGGTCCAAAAGTGACGCCTTTTAATGATTCTTTGTGGAGAACATGGGTGAGTGATGATAGTTATCTGGAAAAATCTGGTGAGAATGGGGCTACAACATTGGGCGATGTCATCCGTTCCAGTGGCAGGATTCAGTATCAAGCTGGTGGGGCGAGTCGGGAAGTTGGGCCGGACAATGTTTACAATTCAGCTCGAGTAATTAAGAGCTTGAATGATTCTGTTCCCAAGTCGAATATCACTTGGGTTTTCCCAGGGATCAATGAGAGTGGTAGCAAGTACTTGGTTCGATTGCATTTCTGTGATATTGCGAGCATTGGGCCCTTTTCGCTTTACTTCAATGTTTATGTGAATGGTAATCTGGCATATGAGAACCTGGATTTAACCCTGATCACCAATTCATTGCTGGCCTCGCCTTTCTATGCTGATTTTGTGATCGACGGTTCAAGTTCAAGTTCGGGGTCCTTAACAGTGAGTGTAGGACCATCGAATTTCAGCTTGCCACATGCTGTTGATGCTTTACTTAATGGGGTTGAAGTATTTAAGATGAGCAGTTCATTTGGTAGTTTTCAAGGGGAGATGTGTGCTGAGTCGGTCATGAGGAGCTGGAGAAGGGGAAATGTAGGCGTCGTTTTGCCTTTACTAGCTGCAGTATTTCTGTTGCTTACTGCATCCGTGATAGTACAGAGGAAGAGGTGTGGCGTTGCTGGCGATACAATCGGATGGTCAAGGTTACCTGTAGATGTTTCTGAAGTCAATTTGAAGCATCCTGGACTACAATCAACCACAGCTGGTAAACTATGATCATGATCCTCTCTTTCTGACCAAGTAAGTCCCTCCCGATTGCCACATGTCGTCAGCTTTTAGATGCAATGCTTTATTGCTTTTGGTCTTCAGTAGAACTGTAATGGAAGAATGCATTTTTCCTCCGAGCTTCCAAGGGTATGAGCTACTCTGTGTTGCTGTAGTTCTTCATCGCATATGTATAATTCTAGTATGTATACAGGCATTACTGATAAATGACAGCCAAAAGCGAATTAAAAATGTTGAAGCAGTATGGGAAAGGAGATGTGTTAGTGCTGTAAGTTACTCGTGGTACATTTTTTTGGCCTGTGGAAGGCAAATGATCATATATTGTTCCATAATTTGGTCACTTCCCTGTTCTTAATAGAGTTTCATGTTGTGTATGCCTTTCAATCAATGGCTCGTACACCAATAGATTTGATGAATGTTGGCTAAGAAAATAAAATGAAAACAAAAATGAAGTTCAATCGACCCAAACTGGTCTTACCTTGTTGAACCGCCAGGTATAGTCAGTGACATCTGCTCCCTTTATTCAGTTTATTGTTCATATAAACTAGGACTAGGAAAAATATTCTTTTGAGCTCGATTATTGATTGTCCCTGAAATTGGTATGTTTTAGATATTGTTGTTAAGGATTTTTCTGTTTGCTAAATTGTAAGAAATGAATATGATAAGCTGGAGAGATTTACTTTTGCACCTTGCTACAACAAGCAGAAGATAGACATCTTATGCCTCTGAATCCTGCTTTAGTAGCTAAAGCTAGAGACTCGATTTTAATCTCGATTTTGCTTTCAGATTACAAATCCCACCATCATCCAGACATCAACCGTCATAGTGTGTATATAGGCTAAAACCGCTATTTTCAGGGCCTTCAACAATTCTGGTAAAACTTTGTAATAATGTTTTAACACTTTCAACTTCCAAGCAATGATCTCCTCCCAATGATAAAATCCTTGTAATAAGAATTTTTATACTCCAAGCAAAAATCATCAAATCTGGGACTCTGGGTGATTAATAATAAGTCATATGTTAAGAAGATTGCAGCAACATGAACAATAAAACAATTACAAGGAAAAGAAAAATAATCAAGAACACAAGACTAACATGATTTGAGTAATGTGAAGTTGTGAACTACGTTTATAAGTAGAGAGGCAAATATATTACTTTCTTCCGTCTCCAAAAAAATAGTCCACTTTGAGTTTTGAGTTTTGTACTGTTTTTAGTACAAATTTGAAAACTAAATGTAGACTATTTGTTTTTAGTACAAATTTGAAAACTAAATGTAGACTATTTTTTTTTGGGACGAAAAGAGTAGTATTTTGCAAGTAAAACTGGTTGTACTAGGTACAAAAGAGAACTCTCCTAGAACAATTAGAACATATACTTCGATCTTATTTATGTATCATTTTGGCAGAATTTATAAAATTAGTTTAAAATTGTGCCTAAGATCAATTAAGATCAACGAAAGTTCATAACTAACTCATTATAGTCTTATCGAGACTGCATGCACTTGAAAAGGGTGTTACTAGTACATCACTATTCAAAAAATTGATTAGTACTAGTTCATCATATTAATGATAACACACTATAACACTAAGACATGATCTATGGCAAAACTCAGACTCTTAACTAAAAGAGGGATATAAATTAAAAACATGGTAACTTATTCATTGAAATTTTATTTTTTGCATGAGTGAAATGTGAATGCCACAAAAAAAAAAAAAGAAAAGGATATTCTCAAATTAAGAGGCCTATCATGGGACGAAATATAGGAAAATAGTACTACGGAATATATATTTAAAGGAAAACGATATATACGATTTAGTAAAATAAGATAATGACCATGCATTTATAAATATATAGCTTCCATGCATTACATTGGTAAGTACTGGAATCAAATAATTGATATTTAAAATTTTCCAAGAGTCACACTATTACGTTGCTGATAATTTTAATTTTTCTAAATTAATTAATTTATTTTTAGTATACTTGAGGAAGCATAATACTTTCGTTACATATTGAGTCTCCTAGAATGAATCGATAAATTAAACATTAATTCATCCAACGTACTCCTCTGTCCCAAAATGATTGTCCAGTTTGAGATTTCACTTTTAGTATAATTTAAATTAAAAATGAAAACACAAACTGGACAATAATTATGGGACCGAGGGAGTAATTTTTTATTTTTTGCAATTTAAAAACCTTATTACAAGACCAAATATTTGATGTCCTCCTACTAAGAAAACAGTGTACCATATCTCAATCAAGAGATCAAAACACCCAGTAACAGCCAATACATTAAAGAGGTGGTTGGAAACAAGCCATCCATTAAATTTGTCCGGATCCATATGACTTCCCCAATACACAAATACCCGGAGCCTGTCACCAAATGTCAAGTATCGAGTTTTCACCGTTTCTCACAATTGGTAAGTCACCGAAAAAACCTTCTCCTAACCATTGATTCCAAGATACACCTTACAGCCCTCTTTATCAATACCTGCGATTATTGTTGCTATGATCGTAAACCATTCCCACCATTACAGGACTTGAGAGCTTCGGCAACCAACTTTGCTGTATCTTCAATAGGAATTTCAGGAGACAACTTTTTATTATTCAACTTAACAAGCAAAGTTTGTCCGGTGGCAATGTCCTCGTCCCCCGGCGGAAAGAGTGGCGACAATGTGATCAAATAGCACTGGAAACAGAACCTTTTGGATGATCAGCAGCTACAAAAACCCCTTCCCTTGAAAAGAAAAGCCAAACCCGTCTTCCCCTTTCCCTTTTCTTCCTTAGCAAGAAGAGGCTTAGGAGCATCAGGGTCCACAAATTTTAAATCGAAAGGCACTCCCCTAGGCTTACCACATTCAGCTTCAAACTTATCATCAGCTTTGGTCCCTTGCAAATACCTCAAGGGAAAGTTTGTGGAATCGCCCTCCACCCATTCATCAGATGTACGGAATAAAGGTGGGTTTAAAGCTTTTCTCATCCATTCAGAAAACTCCCTCTTATCCATCTTTTCATAAATTTCTGGGTCAGTCACCCCCGGGTCGCCAGGCTTCTTAGAATCATCATCATCATCAGAACTCCGAAACACACAGACCCTCTTTGCCCTAATGAAAACTTAAACTGGACAATAATTATGGAACGGAGGAAGTATTATTTTTTTCCCCGGGTTATTGTAAGTAGTTATTTATCCAACGTAATACTACTTTCGAAAATATTGACAAAACTTGTGATTATTTAACTCATGTTCAGTGTATCTACTTGAGAGTCCTCTTCAAGTAATCGTTTAACTGGGCTTCCAGAATGAGATATTAAGGCCCATTAGCTGGAGATATTGGTCACTTCTTGCGCTCGTTATGTGGCATAACTATAACTTCTCTTCAAGTCAAAAAGATTTCATTCACAGACACGCTTGGAGTTTGTCTCAAATATATCCTGATGAATCAGTAGTTCTATCTCTATCCGTCCAGATTTCCACAAATTCGTAAACAGATTAATTAGCTGTTTTAATATAAATTGTTCAGTGATTTCGTCTGATTTAATGCCTAGGAATCTTTTGTCATAAACGCATTAACATATATCTACAGTATTATACTAAGAGAGAAACCAGAGAGAGGAAATCAAACTTTTTCTCACATTCACACATAGGACAAAATCTTATATGTCATTTTCTTATTGGTTAACATAAAGAATATTTATAACAATTACACTAACAGTTCTTTGAATTTTCGGTTAAGCAATTGTTATTGATTCGCAATTAAAGTATATCAATTAATTATGTGGTAAACTTTCTATTTTGTATCCGTTGAAATGAAAAAGGAAACGAAAATTTTTTAAAAAACCAACATTAATGGTTTTTTTTTTCATTATGTGTCATATAAAAAAAGTAAACATTTATTTTATTCAATATTAATACTGATTGATTTGAAAAGATTTTCCGATTGGGTTGAATAATGCCATTATATATTGACTTGATCATTAAAAAATATTAATAATTTTTTGAAATTCAAAAATAATTAATATAAAATCATCAATTATTCTTTAATTACAAATTCTGGGTGTCATTTATAAAAACTCTTTTAAAAAAATACTTAGTAAACTTAGGAATGAGTTCACAAATGATAAAGTATTAAAAAATAGGAAAAATTAATGTCGTAAACCAAATTTCCGCATTATTTTAAAAAAATTAAAAAATTTATTATCATCCGAAAATTATTCCTAACAGATTAAGAAATTATTTCCTTATCATATATCTGGTTGTAATTTATTTTGGAATTCAAAAGTAATTAATATGCTAGAAGTGATATTTTTTTGCTTTTAATTATAAATGAAAATTAATCCCTAAAACTACTCCATTTTCCCAACTACATATTCAAAAATAATAAAGATGATTGTATATAACGATCATAAATAACTTAATTATAATTGCTCTTTATCCGGTTCCATACGTTATTTTATCAAATTTGAATTTGGAATAATTATTACTTATCACACTTAAATTTTAAAAAAGAAATCTTGTCTAAATCAAACACACTTGAGCACTCATATCCCTATACTACCTATATAAGGCTGAATCAGTTATTGATATTCCACTCCAAATCATGGTTGCCTGTATGTTCATATGAAGAAGAAAGGTATAATTCTTTTTTGTATTTATTTGTAACTTAACATGTTTGAATCATTTTTCTTTTAATTCAATTATGCAGATGTGTCAAAAAAATTAGAAAAACAAAAAAGTTAGAGGTGATGATTACAAGAATGAACAAAGGTTTGTCTTTCCTTTACGGTATAATTCCAAAAAATAATTCAAATTGCACTTATGATTTACTTTTATGTCATCTTTTATTTAATTTTAGTCATACAATGCTTATGATTTTCATTTTATTATTCATATATTCTCTTTCCATTAACTCAATATTTGCATTTCATATCGAATGTAATATTTCATCTTTATATAATATATATATATATATTAATATAAACTTCAAATATATTCTACACCGTTTATATTTCTTATGATTTTTGATAATGTAAAATAAATACACCCCGCACATCGTGCAGATTTAACATCTAATATATATATATATATATATAAATTTTGGCTTGACGCGATTTTATAACAAACTCTATGTAAATTGAGGTTGAAAAACAAAACATTTAACTGATTAAGGCTTCACAACAATTTCACCAGTTACCACTATATAATAAATTGTTTATATATTATTAGTACTCCCTCCATCCCATAATTATTGTCCAATTTGGATTTTCATTTCTCATTCAAATTGTACTAAAAGTAAAATCTCAAAGTGGACAATAATTTTGGTACAGAGGGAATATAAGATAAGACCATGGGAAAAAAAGTGGTGAATTATTTATATGTTTATTCATAGGTAACTCCGTTGAACTTTTTTGCATTTTTAATTACTTATATCTTTATAATTCCATGATAGTATTCTGTTTTCTCATTTTCTTGTTGTATGATACTCCCTCCGGTTCTTATTATAAGGCATTTTGATTTCGTTATAGGTATAACTTATTATGTCTTTCTAATTGGAAAAAAAAATCATAAAAAATATATTTTCACATTCTTTGTGTTTTCATTATTATGAAATATTTTTAAGATTTTTATTTTCGATTAAAAAGACATTTTAAATAAAATCTATGATGAAATCAAAATATCTCAAAATACCTTATAATAAGGATCGGAGAGGGAGTATATATCTATGACCACCCTCCGGGATTTAAATTTTCTCTCCATCTTGCCTTGCCTGAGAGGTTGAATATTTTAAGAATTAGGACTAGAGACGGAATGAGTAATGTTAAGGCTTCCAAATGATTACAATTTGTTAGGGGTTTGTTGCCTAAATTCATTTTCTGCAGAATGTATCTAATTAATTCTATATATTTACATTAATTATCTTCTTCTTGTAGAAACAAACTGAATAAAATAATCCTCGATGTTTCTTTTTTTTTAAAGAAAGTTAAAACTGAGCTGAATATTAATATATGAAACTCAGGGTTCAGTTCGATCTGTAAATTGTGATCCCAGAATGTGCAGCAAAATGAAGACCCTTTTGTAGACTACAATCAAAAGTGCAACACTATCACTTTCAGTTTCAAAAGTGACGACGAACCACAGATAAAACAGATAGTTCAAAAAAGAAAAAAAACAAGAAAAATGTAACTCGACGGATCGTTGCTTGCTTAGATGGACAAATGATCTCAGGCCGCATTTAAATCTTAAAAAGAAAACAATAATTCAAGGGTGTACGAAATAATTAAATTAATTTCTTTAAAAAAACGTCAACCCCTACAAATGTACATGCACGATGAATATTCTTCACAATCATTATATCATGAATAGCTAGGTACAATTTCTTCATTTGGAATGAGCTAGGCACAAGTTGACACACATCAAGCACGAGGAATCCAACATTCAGTCTCCGATGAACACATGATACCACGCAATTAAACATACCTGGCTTAGATTTTTCTTCCCACAAAAAAATTGTGCAAAATTGTCTAATTTATCATATATGATAGTCAAAATTATCTAGTTTATTACTCCCTTCGTCCCATAATTATTGTCTACTTTGTCCAAAAATTTTGTCCCATTATTGTCCAATTTGACTTTTTATGGATCAAGTTACACATTTGTCCTTAATAAAAAATATTATCCATAAAATCTTAGTGGTTAAACAATTACTTATGTAAGGGTATATGCCGTTGTTTAAGGTAAAATATAGTTAAATTTGGCCAAAAATAAAATCTTTTATTTTAGTAAAACTAGACAATAATTATGGGACGGAGGGAGTATTTCTCTCTCTCCCTCATCCAAATGATTTTGTAAATTTTTTTTTTTTTTGATAACGCGGGAACCCCACTAGATATGGGTAAACCCATGTACATTGCAATAGCCTGCAAACTACAGTGGAAGGTAAACCATCCCAGGCAAGCTCGGAGTGACAAACTCGGGTACGAATTTGGGGGTTCATGAGTGGGTTTGCCATAACAAGCCCTTTAGAGGTGCTAACGGGCAAGCTTAGATTCATTCCCTCAGTCTTGTTGGAGTGGGGGTTTGAACTCATTACCTCCTCCTTAGAGCAATGATGGTTTTACTACTGAACCAACACCTCATTCGTATTGTGTAGTTTGTTATCAGAGTAAAATATAATGTATCTTTCGATTATCGTTTTATGACAGAATGAATAGTTAATTTGTGATACTACATAAAATATATATCATGATCGAAGTTGGCTTTTCGAAGTTGCAAGATGCACCATTAATTTGATTGATTAGTCCTAAGAACGTAGGGTTCATAGATAATTTAATCCCACAGTAGTCATATTTAAGGGAATTTGATTGCATCACATATGTATGTAATCAGCTATATATACAATTGTCATAAGAGTTGATTACATCACATATGTATGTAATCAGCTATATATATATATATATATATATATATATATATATATATATATATATACTATTGTCATAAGAGTAAGACATGAATCAATGATATCATTGTTGGGCATAATCAAGCGTGCAACTTGTACAGTCAAACCCTAAATTTGTAAGGAACAAATCACACAATTGTCACAATCCAATCCTAATATTCGCGCTCATCTTCGTTAGCTATCTCGCGATCACCAACAGTAGGGTAATACTTAAGACAAAATGAAAAATAAAATGGTACGATACAAAAAGAAGTAAGATTAATTATCACTTACACTTTTTATATATATATATAATATATATAAATTGATTAAATTGCTTGTAAAATATATTCGTTTATATCAGTTTCTCATTTCACTGATCAAGTTCGGTCTTTTTTTTCTTCTTTTTTTTTGGTCGCAACTGAATCTTTTCCCAGTGCACAGAATTCTTGAAAATATGAACCAGAGAAAAAAAAGATCTCATAGTTGCAAGCTAATCGAAAAAATGATTACAAATAATTAGTGTCAAGAACTGCTGCTAAAAGAAAGCGTGATGGGAAATTTGCAAACCGACGGATCTATGAGAGAAACAAATAAACAACTAACATGTGGCTCAATTTGCTTGGGAGTTGACTCTTGATGTCCCAAAATGTCAACTCCTTGAGCACAACAAATTAAAAATGAACGAACACGTAGTTTATAGGGTTTCTAGAAATGAAATTGAGACCACTAGCCACCAAAAAAAGAATGTACTTAGAAAGTCGAAACAATAACTAATGGTAGAGAAGAAATGTGGGAAATTCGTTATTAGGCACTTTGTGAAAATGACATCAATCTATTCTTCTAACTGTTTTGGCTAATAGCAGACTCCATACTTTGAGCACAATTGATGGTTTAAAATCTCTTCGTCTTCTTTCTTTGAAAATACACAACCGCCGCCCCAACACCCTGGAATGAACCTACACATTCATGAGTGCATAATGGTTTATAAAGTAAAAGTTTGAATTCGAGTAACAATTAATTGTTGCAAAATGAATAGTTTCTATCTACCTTTATGTCTCTACATTTCAAAGCAAGATTTATATTTGTTGTATTATAATATATAATTCAAACAAAAGAACTCTCACTTAGGAATGAAAAGAGTGGTACATAATTTATTGTATTTCTTTTTTTGGATAATGATTCATACAGGAAAAATAACTAGGAATTGATCATAACTATTCATTTTTAACACTTTTCATTTTGGGTTTAAGCATTTAAATTTAAGACATAGTTTAGATGATTGACAAGTCATTCCTTATAAATTTTCCTTGTAAATTTTCCCTGTATGTATTATTGCTTTTTTTTTTTTGGCATGTTATACAACTGGTGTCCGCAATTCTTTTTGGTATAAATTTATTTTATTTTTTTAGAGAACCATAATTATGTTACCCCCTTAATCATTTCTAGATACTGCCTATTTTAATTTATATTTTATAATCTCTTGTACACAACTCTTCTCTTACGCATCATGGAACTTGATATGCTTTCGAAACAATTCTAGCTACTACGGTCACTGTGATCATGTGATATACCTTTCCCAAACATGATACACCAATTATCGCTATTTATTTTTATCGTCAAGGAAACTTGTAATTCCAAATAAAAAACCATAATATTCCCATATAAATAACCATTAATGGGTTTTCAATGCATAATATATCAGTTACGTATTCATTGCATATATACAAGTCTTTAGCTGCTAATAACATATAATAATTTTCGAAATACACGTAAAGTAGACACAAGTGCTAGTTGTACGTACTTGTAGTAAAGTACTACGATGTCAAATTATAGATGGATGGTAATGAGAAATAAGAAAACCCCGGTAATTAAAATAGGGAGACAAATAATTAGTTTTCATCTGTTTCTCATCATCTTCAAAAAGTTTTAATAGTGTCATGATTTTATTAAAATGGCCAAGTCTTACACAACTTGGCTAATAACTTACAATTTCCGACATACACACCATCGCTTGAGTATACACAAGTACACAGTTATACTACTGTACGGTGAGAAAATTTTGGTGAATTGAACAAAAAATTTTGTACGTTATAAGGATGATAAGGACAATCATTTTAGAAATTGGAACAGAGAGAAGATTATGCATCTTGCTCGTGCTAGTTGTCGGTCTAATTTTTCTAATTAATAACGGGGACTAAATTGTTCCACTGGACAACTGAAAAATTTTGCAAATAAGAGAGGAGAAGGGGGATTCTAATCCGGAGGTATTTAAAGGACCAATTAACTTAAAAGATTTTACCATGTGAATTAAAATTCATTAATTGTCCTAGTTTTATCCTGGGCAAAAATGAAGCAAAAGGCATGAACCATGCCTTATAAGGAATAATATCTGTAACAAATTCAATGTATAGCTCCAATTGTCTGTATTATCTTTTGTTTAATTTTTTTTTCCCCACAAATAGTAAGCGACTCATTGTAAGATACTATTATACCTTGCAAGTATAGTGTGTGTAGTCGACCACTATATATAGAGCTCCATATTCAATCCTCTTGAATACTCAAAATTGAGTTCATTTTCCATTGTACAAAACAAATTGGGTGGTGGCTAGTGAAAGTCAACTGATTATCCCTAGCTTCTTCTCTATTTTGTTCTGAAAAAAAAAAAAAAAAGAATAAGAAGAAGAATACTAATGGAGCCATCACCAGCAAGGGTGGCAGTGCCACAAAAATCTCCTCCTCCTCCTCCAAGTAGAGGTACCAAAAATGTTATCCAAGCCACCATAATGGCACTTGTTCTTATAGTCAGTGTTGGATACATTTTCTTGTGGATCATGCTTCCAACAAACCTCTACCGGAAACAATGGCTTCCAAAGATTCAAGCTAAGGCTAACTCAACTTACTTCGGAACTCAAGGTACATATATATACGTATCTCGACATTAATATACCCATTCACGATGATAATATCGTCAGAGTAAGAATTAGCATTCCAAGTTAATTACCATACCAACATAATTAATATTGTCACACTATCAAGATTTTACGTTTACGATTAGTCAAAATTTAATAGTGGAGATTAGCTTGAAATTTGATTCTGCATTTGACAAATGATTTATCTTTCTTTACCAATTTTGGTTTGTCAGTTACTCACGAGTTTGTAATTTTAGAACGTGGAGGTGCTATATATTATTAATCCATCTATCAATTCTCTTACTATAATTAATTTTATTTTATAACACTATGGCTTACTTGCCTTATTTTAGGGACAAACTTGTTGATGTACACATTTCCTGTACTCTTTGTTGCTGTGTTGGGTTGTGTTTATCTCCATTTGAGAAAGAAGAGTAACATCAACGGCTACCATCATTCCAACGGGTAAAATAAATAATTATTTGACCTTTTCACTGACTAATTAATCGTAATTAATAAAAAATAATAATAAAATCATTGGTCTAATCATATTTTTGTCATTTTCATCAATAAATTTTAGTGAGAAAAATGCATTAGCAGCATGGAAGAGGCCGATCATCGTCAAAGGACTGGGAATTGTGTCTCGAATCGAATTAGCTTTTCTGGTGATGTTCGTTGCTCTTATTGTCTGGTATTTCTGGGTTTCATTGAGCATCAGTTTCCAAAAAATCACCCCAAAATCAGCTGCAAAAGATGGGGAGAATGTGTAAGTAATTAAATCGATTATTACTTAACTAATGCTTAATTATGTTAATAATTTGTAAAAGGAAAAGAAAAAATTAATTTATTTGTTTAAAATTATGATCCCCTTGAAGGTGGCAAGCTAAGCTGGATACATCGGCGTTAAGGCTGGGGATCGCCGGCAACATATGCCTGGCGTTTCTGTTCTTCCCGGTGGCGCGTGGATCGTCGGTGCTGCAACTGTTTGGGTTGACGTCGGAAGCCAGTATCAAGTACCATATATGGGTTGGCCACATTACCATGGCGCTCTTCACTGCTCATGGTGTTTGCTACATCATCCTCTGGGCTGTTATCCACGAATTATCCGCGGTAACTATTAAATTAATTAATTTTTTTATAGATACTTATTAACAAAAATATATAATTTTTTAAAGTACTCCTTCTGTCCCAAAATTATTATTCAATTTGAGATTTCACTTTTAGTATAATTTAAACTAGAAATGAATATCCAATTTGGACAATAATTATGGGACGGAAAGAGTATAAAAGATGTGAATGGCTGAAAAACGTTTAGTAACAATTGACTGACAAAGTTTTAAAGTTCTGACCAATTGGTGATGTGCTTGATCATCAGTAGTATTTTTATGATATAATCGCCCTGACTTAAAAGCAAGAAAAATACGTCATGTTTGTTTAGTCTAAACTCTAAACGAATTTTCGTTTGGTTCAGTCTAAATATAGGTAATTTATTTGCTACCTTTTTAACGAATTGTTTGGCTTTATAATAAGAATTATAAAAATTTGGCCAGCGACATACGTATATGAAAACGAATTTATCTTTTTAATACTTGCAAGTTTCATTAATTTTTTTGTAGCGAGTTTCACTTTCAGAAAAGAAAAGAAATTCCTGCAAGTTATTTCTTTATTTGGTGAAAACGGCCTTTCCATCATAGTAGTTACAATATAGTAGACAAAAATAATCGTTGACTTTTATGTGCAAATGATATGAATAATAAAATACGTCGCTAAAATATATGCATATGACGACTAATTAATAAGTGTAGAAAGCTTCAACCATTAGTTTGAAATACTTCCTCCATTCCAAAATAAGTGTCGTTTTGGCAAAATAGAGAAATTCCAAAATAAGTATCGTTTTCAGATTTCAATGCATTTTTTGTCAAAAATTTTCAAACATACCCTCAAAACAAATAATATTATTAGGGAACATTTATTTTAATGGGGTTGATTGAGGATATTCTAGTAATTTAGTTACCTTATTTAATATTTTCTTAAACTATGTGCAAACTCTGAAATGACACTTATTTTGGAATGGAGGGAGTACAACATAGGGATGTTTTTCACTTTTTCATTGAATTTTTGAAAATGAAATAAGTAGCTATAGAAACCTTAGGTCAAAAACATTATTACTATTTCTTAATAACTATTCACTTTCGTCCCATGAAAATAGTTTATGTATGTTATAATTTGAAAATTGTTCTGTTCTGTTACAATTCACAAACTGCAATATACACTATTTTTGTATTATTTATTTATCATGGCGAACTCGCTCTTGTAACGGTTTTCTTCAGTGAAAAAGAAAAGGAAAAAAACTCATTAAGATAATAAAACTCATGAGGACTTTTGTGTTTTCTCGAATTAAAGAAACATGTTACACGAAACTAAACTGGCACAGGAGATTTTTAGCTCATCAAAAAAATAACATTTGTGTTCTTTTCTTTGGCTGGAAAATATTTTTCAGATGTTGGAATGGGCAAAAACAGGAGTATCAAATTTGGCAGGAGAAATCTCACTGTTAGCAGGATTAGCTTTGTGGGCTACAACGTTTCCTGGCATCCGGAGAAAATTTTTCGAGCTCTTTTTCTACACTCATCATTTCTATATCATCTTCATGCTCTTCTTCGTCCTTCATGCGGGATTAGGCCATTTTACCTATTGCCTTCCTGCTTTCTTCATCTTCATGGTCGATCGATTCTTGAGGTTCTTGCAATCTGGACAAAATGTTCGCCTTGTTTCCGCTCGAATCCTCCCTTGTGAAACCCTCGAGCTCAATTTTTCCAAGACGCCTGGTACTAAAAATATCGAACCTTCTTAATTACAATTGACATGCTATATATATAATCGATTAATTGGTTTTAATTTTTTTTTTTTTTTTGCTCTTTTTGTGTTTGGAATGTTTAGGTCTTACTTATACTCCCACGAGTATTATGTTCTTGAATGTGCCAAGCATTTCAAAGTTGCAATGGCATCCTTTTACAATTAGCTCAAGCAGTAACTTGGAGCCTGAAAAGCTTAGTGTTATCATCAAAGGAGAAGGGAGTTGGACTAAGAAATTGCACCAACTACTTTCATCTCCTTCTGCAGTTGATCATCTTGCTGTGTCAGTTGAAGGGCCCTATGGACCGGTTTCAACTGATTTTCTAAGGTAATTAAGTTGAGTATAATTAGTCATTGCAAATTAACCTTATAGACAACTTATAACCAAAAAAAAAAAAAAATGTCACAGAAAATCTGATACGATTTTTTACTACTATAATTTCTCTGTGGGCTGAATGCATCTCCCTTTGGCTTTCTTTTTTGGGCAGGCATGATTTGCTAGTTATGGTGAGTGGAGGCAGTGGAATCACACCTTTCGTATCAATAATTCGTGAATTAATCCACACAAGTGAAACATTACGATGCAAAACTCCCTCAATTCTCCTCATCTCTGCATTCAAAGATTCCTCAGATTTGACAATGCTAAATCTCATCCTCCCCATTGTTAACTCCCCATCCCAAATTTCCAACCTTGACCTACAAATCGAAGCCTACGTGACAAGAGAAAAACAACCCAGCTCATCAGAAGCCAAGAAAAATATAAACACAATCTGGTTCAAACCAAAGCCATCTGATTCCCCAATATCACCAATTCTAGGCAAAAACAGTTGGCTCTGGCTCGGCGCGATTATATCCGCATCCTTCGTGATGTACCTTATTTTAATTGGGATTATTACGAGATACTACATTTATCCCATTGACCATGGCACGAATAAGATCTACTCGAGCGCGGCTAGGGAAATGTTGAATTTGTTGTTCTTGTGTATCTCCATAGTTGTCGTGGCGACGGGGGTTTTCTTGTGGAACAAGAAACAAAATGCAATGGAAAACAAGCAGATTCAGAACTTGGAAGGTGCAACTCCAGCAGCCTCACCTAATTCATGGTTCTACAATGCTGATAGAGAACTAGAAAGCTTGCCCCAACAATCAATTGTTTTGGCTACAAATGTGCACTATGGTGAAAGGCCTGACCTCAAGAGTAAGTGTTTCAACATCCCTTAATTATACTTTTATAAATCTATATTTCCATCCCAAACTAAATGTGAGGTTTATTGCATAATATTTTAAGAGAAATTATATATATATATATATATATATATATAAAAACTAATAAAAAGTGATTCAACAAAACTAACAAAGTCTATAATTATTCACCGTGGTATATATCTCATATTTTATTTACAGGGATTCTGTTTGAGCGAAAAGAAACAAGCGTTGGAGTTTTAGTTTGCGGGCCGAAGAAAATGAGACACGAAGTTGCCAATATTTGTTCATCTGGTTTAGGTGCCAATCTGCATTTTGAGTCCATTAGTTTCAGCTGGTGAAAGTAATTAATGGACCCGAGTGTTTTGAATTCTTCATATTGGGTTTCGATTCGTAATAGCTCCCTCCTTTGCAAGAGATAGGATTATGCTGTTAGCAATTCGAATTGTAAATTTTAAATGTATACGTGGAATTGTGTGACAAGAAACTGTGATATACGTCCTCTAGAAATTGTGTTATATGATTTATATAAGTTTATATAATGATGGCTATTATGAATCGGTGACAACCTACTGTCTCTTCTCACATCTATTTTATAATTGTAGCTTTTTACATATTTTTTAATTTTTATTTTTGTCATGGAAATAGTCCCTTCTCACATGTTAGGAGACCAGAATAGTTTATTTAATACTCTAAGCTATCATTGGCTCAAAAAGGCACCTAGATGAAAAGAGTACTCCAGCTGAAACAAGCTTTACCAAATTCACACTCTTAACTTGTAAGTACTAGCGATCAGCATCGATCATGTGACTTGTATGTAGAGTTGTAGATATATTTTGAACTAAAGATTGGGAAAACTCGTCATGGAACAATTTTAAATCATGTGTTAGTTGTGCTACTGCTATGTGCTATCCATTAAGGTGTTTTAATTTCAAAAAACAAATTAATCAGTGTTACCAATAGTGGACACCATATTATTATATGTTATAAAAACAAAGCACGGAAAAAAGAAATACTAATTGCCCCGACTCAAGAATTTGACAAACAACTACATCACCAAACTTAGAAACTTACCGGAGGATTAATCAATACAATATTTAAGAAAGTATGCTAAAAGGAAGTCAATTATGTTCAAAATGAACTTTTAAAGGAGAACCAGCTTTCCCAATAAAAACCCAATGGCCTAACCAATGAGCTCATATATTTCCACATTTAGGCATCTTCATTTCCTAGCACATTTCTTCCTCGGATTGTAGAGATAGCAAAAACTCATTATCCCGATTAGGTGTACTCGGTATTAGAGTCTCCCTCTTCTGAAGAATAAGGGCATATTAGAGGCTTATGCTGTTGAAAGTCTTTGGGCACTGGGAAGTATAATTTAAGTTGTACTTCAACTCCCAACCCCAAGTTGAAGTAGAAGGATCCTTCAATGCCCTAGCCCACAATGTGAGAACTCGATTTTCGGAATTAACTTTCTGAGCTGTCCAATGAAACGATAAGTTCATCATCTTTCATTCCACATTGCCGGATGACCTTTGGGTCAATCTTCCAATACATGAAATCATCAATCGAAACCCCATCTTTGCTTTAAACACAAAGAAACTTCCCCGATTACTTTCCATGATGATGATGATGGTGGTGCATTGATGCGGGCAATATTACTACTATAGAAGTTCATGGGGTTCCACCTCAAAACTAATTGGCAATAAGGGAATAACCCATAAAACTTATATATTGATACAAAGTCTCTCACGGTACCAACGCGGGACAAACATAACTTGGGATTTTATCTACTACAACAGGCAAAGGAGAGTTCATTTGCAACCACTATTCTTCCTTGTGCTCGAGTCCACACCACTAAAATGTACACTCTCTTAGAAGCATGTCCAAATACCGCGGGTTTCTCGAGACTACTGTCAGGGGAATAATTAGTTGGAGATATTGTACTAGGTAAGGTATGAATTTCCCCAGTCAAAGGATTGCACAACTGATCAATGCTACTTCTGGAAGTTATTATGTAGCACACCAGGTCACAACTAACTGGCAGCGGTATCTATGAGCAGTATCATTGCTAAGGTGAATCGTTGCGAAAAGTCCCCAACCTTTGCTCGAAGAAAGAGGAGAAACTTATCAGAGCTTCTTGGAATGGATCGATGGCGGTGGATGATCTCGAATATGGGGCTAGACAAAAAAGTTTTTCCATGATTTACATACGCATCCACACCTTCCTATTACTTTGCACGCCCAATTTCAACCCATATGTGGATGAATAGATCGTCAGGAAACCCCCAAAACGGGCTGGCTTTCTTGTCGACTTCTTCTTGTCGTCGATGGTTAATTAGTCGTCATCAGGAGAACTGTTGGGTCCAAAACAAGTAACCAAGTTGATCCGCGGAAACAAAACCAATAACTAACTTGATCCGCAGATAGGCTAACCAAGTTGTACAGTATATTTTTCTGTTTCTCACCATCGCACGTACGTATTGGCCAATTAATAACAATGGGTCCACATTTAATTACTACTCCAACCTTAAAAAATAAGAAAGAACTCATAATACAAACCACACGGTATTCAAATTAGAATGCAGTCAAATTGGAATCCCAAATCAAACAAAATTTAGAAAAATAATGCAATTCTTAAACAAAATGTAGTAATTTTGGGATCCCAAAATAAAAAATCTTCTAAACCCTGAATTAAATTGAAACAACCCAAAAGAGGGAAAGTGCTTGAGCTAATAAGGTTGTTGTCGAGTTGAGGTGGTGGAGTCCACGTCCTGGCGGAGAAGAAATGGAGCAAGGAGGCAACCAACTGGAGGAGAGAAACTTAAAGCCCGTTTTCATTTTAAATAACCTGTCCCAAAAACAAAAGGGAAAAAGAAAGAGTAGACAGGATGAAGGTTATGATTAGGCATTAAAGAAACCTGTAACCTTCAAATGTAATGAATTGAATATTCAAAACACGACTTGCAATGAACTGGAATCAGTTGAATTGTTATGGCAACTTACTTGCACATGATAAGAATCTCTGTGACAATCTTCATCCAAAAATGTGATTTACTGATGAAAATGTTCATCTCCTCAATGTATTCCTTGGTCCTCAATTTCTCTCGCAGACTCTTTACCAGAAATCCTGCACTTCTGATCCAATTTTATAAGCGAATGCGCAAGATAACTGAGGGTACAGAGGTCCAATGTTAAACTTGCAGCTTGTTCTTCCTTCCAATGCCTACAATTACAGAAAATTTGACGTGTTGAATAAAAAATAAGATACCGAAACCAGAAAGAGCAAACTAAATAGTATTCCACGACCAATGTGACAAAAATATTGCACAGAGACCAGTTTAAAAATGGCAACTTACACCAACAATATGGAAGAATCTTTCCACGTGTGACAATGATCTTCATCCAAAATGTGAATTATGAATAACAATGTTGATCCCCTCGATTCCTTGCTCCTCGATTTCTCTAACAGACGCTTCAACAGAATCTCCACATGACTGAATTTCAATTCTCGTCAATGTGGGAATACTGACCAAGTCTAAAGGAACTTCATCCAGTTGTTGGCAGTTCCGCAACACGAGCTGCTGCAGTTGAGGCAAGTGATCACTGGAAGCATCCCAGTGAATAATGTTTAGGTTCTTCAACTCCAAGAACTTAAGACTGGGGAACTCCCCTTCTGACATCTCCCAACTGGGCTCCTCAAAGGCACAAGAAATCAGTTTGAGGACCTCCAGATTCTGTAACCTCCCTATTTCGGAGAGATGATCCCGGGACAGACGGAATTTTGAAAGAGTTAACTCTTTCAAACCAGATGGCAAGTTCCATTCATCACTGTTGAGACCCTTTCCATAGTATGATATCTTCAGTGCCTGCAACTGGCTCAGAGATTTTAACTCAGAAGCCCAGCAGAAGTTCTCGGAAAAATCTCTTGGTTCAGAAAACACACATTTCAGTCTTCTAAGATTGAGGAACTTGATGATCGTCTCATTCGTTTTCTCCCCCAGTGAAAAGTAAGGCAAAGAAAGTGTTACCAACCTATTCAACTGAAAGGACGACTTTCCCTTCTCAGCATTAGGCAAAGTAAAGATAGCATGATTACTTACATGAACATGCCTGAGCTTTTCCATTCTCCAAATGGTATCTGGTAGCGCGACTTTCTTCTTCAAACCCTTCACCAACAGAATTTCCAGATTCTGTAGCTTGGACAAAGATGGTGGAATAGACTCTATATCACCACAAATCGCTAAGTACTTCAAATCAATGAGCAGTTCTATTCCATTTATGAATGAACTACCCATGTTGATGTGTTCCAAATCCAACACTCTAAGACGTTCGAAGTTGCTCGAAATGAAGGAGACATCGTAAGAGCAACTTGGAGACATATCAGTGGCTGCAGAGAATATCAGAGATCGGACAAAGGGGCCACAAGGCCTTGACAAAACAAACTGTTCTCGGTCCACACAGAAGGACAACCGATACTGTTCGTATGATATGGAATTGGAGGTGTTGAAATGCTCATATAGAACACCATAATCCAAGGCCTCAAATGAAGAATAGGGTTTATCATTAGCAGATATAGGAAGCAAGAATCTTTCTTCTTCAGCTTTCAACAAGCACAAATCATGTACTAAATCGTGAACTCGGCATGCTTTGACCTTGCCATTTGATCCTCTCTTGGCTACTATTACCAGGCTTCTACCAGTTAGATCCATCAGGTATTTCTCAGCAACATCTTCTAAATCTCCAGATTCTGGTTCACAAACAAAGCCTTCAGCGATCCATAACCACTGTAATCTCCAAACTGGAACGTCCTTGTCCTCTGGAAATGCTCCAATATATAGCAAGCAGGCTTTCAGAAAATCTGGTAAGTGATCATAACTCAGTTCTAATATTTTCTTGCACTTAGTTTCAGGATCATTAATGATCGTTGAGCTTACGCTTTCAGCAGTTTGCTTCCACAAGTCTTTGCTCTTCCCACAGTTCCTATCAAGAAAACCAGCTATCGCACCTATTGCAAGGGGTAATCCATGGCAGCTTTCAGCAATTTGCTGTCCAATTTCCACAAGTTCCTGAGGACACTCTTCTTTCCCAAATAGTTTTAACTTCAAAAACTCCCAACTTTCTTCCTTGGAGAGTGCAGGAAGAGGATAAGGATGGCTGATTCTCGAAACCACATCCCGGAGACGGCTTGTTATCAAAATTCTACTGCCATTCTTGTCATCAGGAAATGAGAGCTTCAAATCATCCCAAGCTTTAGTGCTCCACATGTCGTCCATAATTATGAGGTACCTTTGGCCCTTCAATTTTCTATACAAGAGCTGCTCCAAATCTGAATCACTCATTGCATATGTGTTGCTCTCAACAGTTATAATGTGGCTTAAAACATCAAGCAACAAATCTCTCTTTTTGTATGTTTGAGACACGCAACACCTTGCACGAATAGGGAAGTGATACATGACACTTGGACTCTTTACCACGTTATCGGCGAAAGTGGTTTTCCCAATACCTGGCATTCCAACGATAGAGATAATATCTCGCTGATGGGAGCCTCTAGTAAGTAAGCAAATTATTTCTTCTTTCTGATCTTTGAGGCCAACCATAACTTCATCAATACTGGTGGAAGGGATGTATGACATATTAGGGATGAACCCTTTGGGGGAATTGTCAACTCCATCACTGCATGCGCTGTTACCGTCTATATCTGCAAGCTGCATTTTGATACGCCTAATTGATTTTGCTAGATGAAAAAGCCAAAGGGAGTGTTGCACCACTGTCTTTTCATCTCCCAAAACCAAGTCAATTACATGTTCTGCTTGATAGGCCAAATCGGCAAGCTGCGTGTGAAGTCCTTGCGATGCTTCTTTCATCAACACATCGCTGAATGTAGATGCTATGAGCTCCAAATCACTACAAGTGGCTCGAATTTGATCGGCTACAAGGGTTATGGAAGCTTGCCGATGAGAAAGCAGGTTTCTTAACTTCTGTATGAGGAATCTAATGAAGCACAATCCAGGAGTTTTGGGGAGAAGAAACCTCGGGAGAGGAGTATAAACCTCTTGAAGCTTTGATTTCACAAGTTCAACTTTTTCTACCAAATCAGAAAGACAAACATCAATACCTTGTCAGATTCTTCGTTGGAATCGTGAACCAGAACGTTGCTACAAAAAAACATTGCGCCGGTAGCCACTTCTTCCATATCTGTCAAGATCACCTTGTTATCCTGTATGTTCTCCATTTTTGTTGTATCCTCTAGCACTTCTATTAGGTTACAAAGTCCCTCGTCGAGAGTTCTAATTTTCGGCATCTTCAGTGTGATTCGATGAAGTGAGTTGCTTTGCCTTCAACAGCAAGATATGAACAAGTGTCCTGAAAAGTACATTGCTGACCACCTGGAGATGTACCAACAGGTTGTTGTTCTCCTCTGCACCATCATCAACAGAAGAAGAGCGGCAGAAAGATTCAACAAGCTGAGGAATTTCTTTTATGACATTCCATATCCGATATTCTGTTGGGCTTTCCTTGGTCCATTGAAAGTTCCTTTGCAAAAATCTATACTCCTTCCACAATGAATGGATATGTTGATCCGTGGATAGGGGGAAGAGGGTACCACCACTTTTGATGGAAATCTCAACCTTGAGACGCCAAATCTTGGCAAACACAATTGCAAACTGGGATCTGCTTTTATCATAGTAACATCGGTAATATGGTAGGTCTTTAGCCTCCATAACCACATTTTTAATAGCTGCTACAAATTGATGTACCTCATCCGTGTCCTGGCTCATCATCATTTGCGGAATCTTGATGAGGCAGGCCAGCAATAGTTCAACATTGGTGTAAAGAACGTATGGTTCTCTATTTCCATTAGAATGTATTTCTATTTTGTTCAAATCAAGTCCGAAACTGAGAAAGTAGTCTATCGATGTTTCTGCATCTTTCCAATCATCATAACAACCAATTAACTGCAACCATTGGGAGGTCTGAATGTTACTATCCCAGGCCTCTATCTGCATCCTGATTAGTGGATCATCCAAATACGAGCATTCATTCAGGTGGAACAGATTATACCATAGAAACGCATTGAAGAGACGCCGGTATTCAGTTGGAAACCGAGGTTGATCAGGCTGAAATGATTGGATGGTGGACAAAATAAGGCCGACGGGATCACCTTGGCAATAATTAGCTTCTCTTATCTACGACTTCAAATGACTAATCATCTGTTTCAAAGAGTTGTATGCATCACAAAGCTCTTCCGGCGAAAGTTCGGGTTTGTAACGAAAGATATCTTGATCATCATCATAATCCTTAGGAAAGCCCCAGTAGAACCCTTCTGAGAGAAACTTTTTAAGATACTGGAACAACTTTTTCGTTGCAGCTGCAACTTCCGTCAATTGGAATTCCAAATTCTCATTTGTCTTAGGATTACGAAATGATGATGAGGAGGAAGACGCATCAACACAACTTCTGCTAATCAACACCCGACCGCAACAAAAAAGAATGAACAAATAACGTAGCTCCGTTATCAAACCTTTCGTGTTCTCTGTTGTGATGATTCCGTGGATAAGGTATTTGCGTTTCCTTGGGCACACCAAACGTTCTGCTTTGAGAAGTGTTGTACCTAGAGCTTCCATCACATTATCAAACACCTGTTACATGAGTTCCAGAAGGCTTTTTATTACTCCGCATCATTTGTGACAATGCACAAACGAATGACAACACTCCAAAATTATTGTTGTAACCATCAAGAGATTAAGAAATACAATATGCAATATCTATGTAGATGCAACTTCACCAAGGCACAAAATTTTAATTCCTTGCAGCCACATTTATATGTACTCTGTCTTTCCCTTACCCAAATCTTTGACATAATAATCTGTCAAACTTCTTGTTATGAGACCTCTCGTTCTTTTGTACTTTTACTTTACTAAGGCTCTGTTTGATAATCACTTAATATAATAACTTAATTTATTTAAGTACTTAATGAAATTAAGTGTGTTTGATAATTACTACTAAAAAGTCTTAATGAATTAAGTTCTGAATCAATTAAGTACTTATAAATTAAGTGCGTTTGATAACTAAAATTTCACTGTCTGAATTAATTAAGTGCATCTGAATGGCCAGTTCAATCGTGAGCCAGAAAATAAGTGATAGACCTACCACTTATCACTTATCACTTAATTTCTGTGATGACTTTTTTTTATTCTTTTTTTATTCTTTTTTTCCCTCGTCTTTATTTTGTCGCTTATTTTTACATTTTTTTTAAAGTTTTATTTTCTTAAGATAAATTAATTAAGAGTGCTTAAAGTTGAATTTATGTTATGAGTATAAAAGATCTTAAACTTTCAAACTCAAATCAAACTAATTTTAATACATGAAATTTGCTAAATAACAAGGTATACACATATATGTAATAATCTAAATTTAATTATATATTGATTATTTACCAAGTATAACATTTACTTAAATTATATATACCAAAAGCTTATTTTAAAATTATTATTTTATTATCTAGAACAAAATATTAGTTATTTTTCTATTTAAAAGAATTTTGTTTATAATTCAATTTTAATATAATTAAAATTTTAAATAACTTTCAGACATGAGTATTCAGATTCAGTCTTCAAACTTCAGACTTTAGTCTTCAGACATCATATTCAGACGTTTTTATCAAACAATGTAAATTCACTCTTCAGACTTCAGTGTTAAGTGTTCAGATTCAGACTTCAGTGATTATCAAACGGAGCCTAACTAGTTACTTTTTCCCCCATCTAGATGATTGGTAGTTCCACTCCACATTAGTAATTATAACTTTTTGTAATCTGAAAAACAATAATTACTGAAAGGGAGATCAATCAAAACCACTTTTAGACCAATCAAATTCACCTAATAATAAGAAATTATTTTTGTAATTTTAAAAATAAAAATTAATGGTTAGGATTTTCGAAACCGTTTTAACTGATCAAATTCACCTAATAATGAAAAATAATTTTTTTGCCATTTTAACAACAAAAATTAATAGAAGGAAGATCAAAGGATCATTATATTGTTTGCTAATTTTAAGATTTGTACTAATTTTAGTACAAATTTGAAAATTTATTGTGAATTATTTGTTTTAGGATCGAGGGAGTACATCATCCAGGTACTAAACCTTATTAATGCCGTAATGTAGTAAAAGTTGATTTAAAATTAAAAATAAATAAATGAATATTTGAGCATTGGAACCTGATGGCTGGTTGCTGAAGGATGCGGATCAATCTCTGATGGGTTTTGCAATGGCTGAGGAGAGGATGTTTTCTGCCTCCCATCTTCTTCCAAAATTTATCCATTGATGCGAATTTGTTCATTTCCACGAAAGTTACAAGGTCAATTTCCTTCAAATCAAAATCCACTCATGCATGGGTGCTTCTTCTATTTAGCCTAATCACAAAACCCAAACTTTACAAAAGAAAAGAAAACAAAAAAAGATCTTTCATGTGGGTAAGTTTCACGCTGCTTTTTGTACTCTTTACTCACTACAAAAATAAAAGAATAATGAGAGGTAGCTGCTATGTATACATCGCCTTGGGAAACAAATGGTTGACCTCTTGCTTTCCATTTTTTTCAGGACCTACCAAATGTTAGAAATGGCCTCGTTACAAGTAATTTGAATATAAAATTTGAGCCGTAAAAGATAAAGTTCCTAGGTATAAAAACTTGCTTCTTCTTTTTTTTTTTTTTTTCTCTCTTTTCATTTGGCAGAGAAAAACAAATAAAAATAATTAATAAATAAGCCTTGGCAAGTTCCTAGCTAAAGTCAATGAAGTGATGGAGATCTTCCATGTGTTCTGGATTGAAGTGATGAAAATAATTTAGATCTTCCTTTTCATTTTCTTTCGTTTAAATCTTTTGTGAATCGTGGCCCTTTAATTGATTGATAATAATTTTACTAATTTAGCACCGAACAAAAACATTACATGAAGCTTGAATGTGATTATATGAAATTAATATATACTGGGTTCTTAATATCCGGAAAAAAAAAAAAAAACTAAAGGGGAATTCTCAAAGCACGAAAACAAAAATAAGAGGAAAAGAATTTTTAACACATACCTTGTGAAGAAGACTTCAGTTTATTGAGGAAATAGTATATTTCTGCATAACTGCTTTTCTTTCCTTGTATATATCTTCTTTAGATTAGACTCCACGAGAAGTTTTTGATTCTATATACTATTTCCTTATCTTCTTCGCAGTAGAGACAGAAAACAAGAAGGAAAACTTTTAACTTCTGCTGAACTTGAAAAGTGGAACTAAATCAAATAATGGCCGGATGAGAGGATTTGATAGTGGTTGAAGGCACAACTTTGTGGATCTAGTCAACTCAAAAGTGTATGCAAATGATATTGGCAGATCTCTATTTCTTAATCAAGAACGATTAGTTTTAATCATCGATAGTGCCAAAAATCAGAGGTCTTGGAAATAGAAAATTAGGTCCTATAATCAATTATTAGTAATTAATCCTCCTGCACGCGTTTATTAAAAATTGCATAAATTAACAAATCCAATGTGGCTCGAAGATTGCAAACCATGCACCCATATTAAGAAATTGAATGGCTGTTGACTAATAAGATACACAAGCCAGTAACCATAAAAAAACAAGCGGGTGCTTGACTTTTGGGTGAGTTAAACCCAAAATTGTGGAACAAAAAATATGTAGGGTTTAAAAACTAGACATATATAATGTTCTCGTGCTTTCAAAACGTGAAACAAGAAAATTAAATTAACAATTTGCGTTTGTGAAACGCGAATACTTTTAATTATATTTTCCTCAAATTCAACCGGAACGAAAGCAAAAAAAAATTGAATTAAAAAAGGAAAACCATTTTTCGCGTTTTGGAAACGCGAAAAATGTGAATCGCATTTCAGAAACGCGAAAATAATTTTTTCGCGTTTTAAAAATGCGAAAAGCTATAAATTTAAAATTTTAAATTAATTGCGGTTTGCAAATAACAATTTAGTGTTTTGAAAACGCGAAAATTTTTTTCTAGCATTTTGAAAGCGCGAAAAATGATTTTAGCGTTTTCAAAACGCGAAAATATCCAGAAAATCTCCTCATCCACTCATTCGGCTCCACGTGTATTTGATGATAAGTCTGGAATGTATTCGCGTTTTGTAAACGCGAAATTTAAGATTCATATACAAAACCAAGCAAATTAACAGCATTTCTTCGCAAATTTTTTTTCATTCTGTTCAGCTCCGATTTTTCTTCCCAAATTTCTTTCATTCTGTTGAGCTCCGATTTTAAGTTTCACTCCGGAGGACTTGCTGAATCCATGAAAGCTCTCATTTCCTTCAAATTGAGAAGTTGCTCCGAATTTAAAGAAGATTGATTTGAGTCCTGAAGCCTATTTAAAACCCTAAGTTTCAACATTCAGGTAAGTTTATTTCGTTATAGAAAACATGTACTTTTTTATGCCTTATTGTGAGCATAGGATGATTTACACATTATTATTATTAGTTAATAAATAATTGTGATTTAGTCAATTAACGGTGGTTTTTTAATTAGGCTGATAAAGTGAATTGAAAGAAATATTAGTTAATAGAATGTTACATTAGATGAGCGTTGTAAATTATTGTATATCGATTTCTGTAAAATAAAATAAAATTATAATAATGATATTGAATTTTTGAATATTTATAGCATAAGAATAAATTATGTAATTCGGGCATAGGGTTTAGATTTAATATTAATTTTTAGCATAGAAATGAATTTGTAAATTCAGGCGTATAGTTGTTCTTTTGAAATTATTAAATCTGTAAACGAGGTAAATACTGTTTCCGCAAAACTAAAATTCAAAATGTATTCTAGTGTTCTGATTTCGTAGGAATTGATTTTGCAGGCCGCAAATGTCTTTCACGGAGACAGTTCGTCTGAAAGTATACTGGAATATTACTTATACAACTGAACCTGATGGGACTATCACGATACAGCGGGATGCGCCGGACGGTTATCTTATCATTGATCGTATGTTAGATTTCTCGGAACTTGTTGATAAGGTATGTGGTGTGATGGAAGTTGATAGAGAAGGGCTGTATATTGATTTTTCTTTGGTATGGACGGAGAGGTCAGGAAAAAGGTCTCGTGTGCACATTAATGATGATAATACTATTCGATTCATTTATCTTTGTGCTGATAAATGGCAAGAATTGTACCCTGAAAATATTGAGACAACATGCCATGTTTATGCAAGTACATCTGGCCAGGATATTGGTGCCAGCACTAGTGGTGGTAGAACAGTTGAAGACAATGAAGATGAAGACGGAGATGAAGATGGAGATGAAGATGAAGATAAAGATGAAGATGAAGATGAAAATGAAGATGAAGATGGCGGGGGTGTCGAAAGCAGTGATGATGAGTACGTCCCATCGGATGAGGACTCAGATGACGACACTGATTTTGAGTCATCTTCTTCAGTCCCATATGTTTTCGACGACATCAGTGGATGTGACAAGACTTTAGAGGAAGTAGATTGTGATGGGATTAAAATGTGGGATGGCAATCCGTTGACGCTAGGCCTTGATGTACATTTCACCAACAAGCCTGAGGCACAAGCGGCAGTGGGAGAATGGAACTTGGTACATGGTCGGAATTTCCGGGTGAAAACGAGCTCTAAACGAACACGGTATGTCGAATGCAAGACCTGTAAACCCAAATATCCAAAAGAGCGTCTTCACTGCTATGATTGCCTGTGAAAGGCGCGAGTTTCGCTACAGCAGGCCACCGGTACTTGGAAAATGGTGGTATTGTCCGATTCCCATAACTGTCTTGGGGCAAACAAGAGAAACGAGTCCCGAAACGTCATGTCTTCTCTGATTGCTAGACTGGTTGCCCAAAATGTGCGAAAACATCCAGATTTTGCAGTTGCCCAAATTCAAATAGATGTTTTGAAGAGGTACCAAGTCGAATGTAGCTACAAGAAGGCATGGCATGGTAGAAGAAAAGCACTTGAGGCTCTGTATGGTACATGGGAAAGTAATTTTCAACAACTGCCCAGCTTTCTCGATGCATTGTTCATGTCAAACCCCGACACCTGTGTGCAATTCAAGTTTAAGGAAAATTCAGGAAGCTCGCAAAGGTTTGTATGTAGGTATGTTTTCTGGGCATTTGGGCCATCTATACAGTTATTTCATGCTTGCTGGCCAGTAATAACCATCGATGCCACTCACCTGCGAGGATCCTACAAAGGAAAACTAATTGTGGAATGCGTAAAGTGCGCAAATGGCACAATTGTTCCCATCGCATTTGCTCTTGTGGATGAAGAGACTATACACAGCTGGAAATGGTTCTTGAAGTATTTGAAAAAGTTTGTTCTATAGGATAGGAAGACCTGTATTATCTCTAATCGAATCAGGGTATCCTTATGCCATGGACATCATGTTGCAAAAATTTCCAGAGATGGGAGTCCACCGGTATTGTCTAGAGCATGTTAAAGCAAACTTGGTTGGGCATTTTCGAAAGGAGAAACTGGGAGGCAACTGTCAAATGATTGGTTCAGCGACGCAAAAGACAAGGTATTTGGCAGAGTGGCAGAAATTAGAAGAAAAAAATGAGGCTGCAGCTTGTTGGCTTCAGAAGCTGGGTGTTGAGAAATGGACTTGTTTACACGATGGAGGGCATCGTTGGGGAGAAATGATCACTAACATTTCAGAGAGTTTCAATAATATGCTGAAAGGTGCTAGATTCTTCCCGATCACAGCTTTGATCCTAGCATCCTTTCAGAAAAGCAACAATCTGTTTCAGGCAAACATTGATTTGATCCCGAAATGTCCGAATGTTCTACCTCCTAAGCCAATGAAACTGTATGAAGAGGCCCGGAAGAAATCATTGAGGTAAAAGGTCAACCGGTTTAGCAAGAAAAACCAGAAGTACGAAGTGGTTACAATAACACCTGATAATCAACCATGGAAGGCTGAGGAGAAGCAAGTTGTGCTCTATGCAGATCGAGAGTGCACTTGCGGAAGGTGGCAGACTTTTAGCCCATGCACTTCGAGTTGCTCGAGAGCTAGGTGACTACCCCTTCCCACTTTTTGATCCATGTTACACTACGCAGCAATGGTACCAGTAGTTTTCTGGAGAATTCAACCCAATCATGGAACCATGGCCAAAGGCAACGTGGCAGATCAGGCCAGATGACACTAAACTTGTCCACCATGCTGGCCGGAGAGTGACGAAGGAGCCCGATAGATTGACTTATAGCCAATTCCGGGCTAAAAAGCCCAAGAAGAAGTAGGGTACTAGACTTTTTATGTAGTATTATTAGACTTGTATTTTTTTTTTTCCCTTTTGTTCATTTATGTTTTTTTTTCCTTTTGTTATGACTTGTTTTATTTTTTTCCCTTTTGTTCATTTATGTTTTTTTTCCTTTTGTTATGACTTGTTTTATATCTTTTCCCTTTTTTTATGACTTGTAGTATTTTGTTATGACTTGTATTAATATTCTTAATAGTTTGATTTCACCTGCATCGTTGCTACTTTATTAATATTTATCAAACACATCTTCGCCGATCAAATCTAAACACATCTTCAAACTTCTTATATTTTTTTAATAATTAATAGTTGCTTCATCTTTTTTTTTTTAAACAAACAGCAAAGTATTTAGTTTATCCAAACAAAAGATGTAATTCTTAGCTCTTACATACCAACCGTCTATTAAAATTACCACATCCACAAAAGAATAGTACCAGATACCTAAAACAAACATTCAGTAAACTAAAGTTCTCTTCAAAATTAAGACGCGGTGCATTAAACAATCGCATTGGCAGCACTTGCAATCCTAGGCCAAAGATCATCACACTCCTTTCCAAGGGAACCACTGATTGCAGAACCTTTCATTTTTCCCTTGGGATTAACAATCACTCCAGCATTATCTTCAAAGTACATGTAGACACCGTCCTTTCGACGCCATGGCTTGTGCTAGCGAACAATGACTGCGGGCATGACCTTTTTTCTGACTGAGATCAGGCTTACCCTTCTTGGCGGTGGCCATAACCATGTCATCGACACAATCAGAAGGGAGACGGTTGAGCCTACCCTTCATTCCCTTCACTGAAATGATGTAAAGGTTCTTTACCCCGGTGTTGTCGGTGCAATTCACCGTCGCAGCCACTGGAAGACCCAGAGATATCCTGAACTTGTTATCCGCCGATCCTCCGCGTCCTCGCTTCGACATTTTTGCTGTCTCCCCTGTGAGGTTTCCGAAGAAGAGACAATAATTGCTTCATCTTAAGCGTTGGTAAATTACAATAAATATTTAATAAAATTTATTCATATTTTAAGCTTTTTTCTTATATTGAAACCGTCATAATTAATAAAAACAATTTGTAAATTAAATTACATCTAATTAAATTCATAAAATCACGTCATTTATCATTATTGAAAATTTTTCATATAAAATTATTTTATAAAATAATGATTACATTTTTCATATACTTTTAAAAAATTTAATATAATTTTTTAATATAATCATTATTAAATTTTTTATATAATGTTTTAAAAATTTAATACATTATAATAACTATATCATACTTTTAATAATTTATATTTAGTATAGCTCTATTTAATTTAATGAGTATCAATTATAATATTATATTCTTATTCAAAATTTAATTTTCGTATTATTAACATGATCAATATAATTTTCCTCTTTATAGCTCTATTCAAAATTTAATGATTACCAATTATAATTTTAAAATTTTGTGTTACCATTATTCAAATTTAATAATTTTTTGAAGTAGATTTCCCTATAACTTTTTAAACTAGGCAAATTAATCAAATTTTTATTTCTATTTTCTTTTTTTATTTAAATAAAATATTTTTTTTTATTTTTTTCGCACTTTGAAAACGCGAATCTTTATTTATTCAATTCTTTTACCATTAATTAATTAGGATTAAGTTAAATTAATTACGAGTTCTTAATTTTAGCGTTTCTGAAACACGAAAACTGAGTTTTCGCGTTTTCAAAACGCGATTTTTAATTTTTTCGCGTGTTTGAAGCGCGAAAGACTTATTTTTGGCTAGAATTAAAACCTTAGGTTTAGTTTGTTCTTCATAATTTTTTTGAGATATGTATAAGTAAATTTTCCAAAAACAAGCTGGTTACAAAAATGATATGGATTGCACACTGTAGTGACTGTTGAAAGCAATATTAGCCATGCATACAAGAAAGAGTAAACGTTTAAAAGAGAACAAGATCCCAGACAAAACCCAATGGCCGAACGGCCAAAACCCTTCCATTGCGACTCATAATAGGCTTCTTCACTTTCCTAACGCTTTTCTTCCCTGGATTGAGGAGATAGTTGGTAGTATGATCCTCTGAACTCAGAATTAGTTCTCCTTGTATTGAAGAATGAGAACACACAAGAGGCTTATGATTTGGGTGGCAGAATGATTCCTGAAACTGTTGACAAGTTCTTGAGACTCGGAAGTCTTATCTAACGGTGTACACGTTTACCCAACCAATTGTGGAAGTCAAAGGATCATCATTCTTATTGTTGATCGGTTTCCAAGCCCATAATTTAAGAACTTTGTACCTAGACATAACCTCTTGATCTGTAACGCAAAGAGTTCCTTTGAAATCTACCAACCCGTTCTTAGCGCAAGGCGGTTCTGGACTATTTATGATCCCAATTTTTCCATTTTTGATGTCTAAAGAAACTATAAGTTCATTTCGCGTTAGGTGCCCATAAGCCTGGATAGGTAATCCAATACATGAAATCATTAACCAAAATTCCATCTTTCAAACTACGGGGATTCATTTTCGCAATTACTTTCCATGATGATGAATCGATGCTTCTAACATCGCTACCACTGCCAAAGCTGAGCTTATTGGCTATCATCATTCTTCCTTTTCCTTTAGTCCACGCCACTACAACGTACCTTTTTTCACAAGTAACATATCCAAACGCCACTTGTGCCTCAAAAAGATCAATTTGGTCGCTACCATTCGTCGGAGGCAACCTCGGCAAGGTGTGAATTTCGCCCGTCATAGGATTGTACAACTCAATGCGATCTCTGTGTTTGCTACACACTAAATCACAACAAGCGGGTAACAGTGCTCCCCGCGAATGGATCGAATTACAGATGATATGATTAGGTTTCTTGTTAATGTCAACCATACCAAATGTCGACATTCTTGAATTTGGCTTGAAAAAAGAGGAGAGCAGTGGCGGAGCTAGGGGATGGAGGAGAGTGCGGTCGCTTCTGCTCAATATTTTGTAATTAGTAGAGATATCTGACATTTTTACTAGAAAATTATTTATAATTTTCACACTCCTTACATTAATTTACTAGTTTATTAGTAGGTTTTTTTAAATTTCGCACCCTCTATCTAGATTTTCTGGCTCCGCCAATGGAGAAGAATATTAGGGCTTCGTAGGATGGATTGATGACCGTGCATGATCTCGAATTGAGAGTCCGATAATGTCGTTTTCAACGATTTGCATATGCATCGACACTTTCCTAAACTTTTTCACATCCAATCTCAGCCATATGTCGATAAAGATATCTTCAGGAAACCCTAGAAACGGAGCAGCTTCGGCTCTATCCTTGTATTCATGCCTTCGTTTGTCCCTCCTCATCCAGTTGAATCCAAAAAAGATTTATTTACTATTAAACAAATCGCACAAGTAAGCAAATCAACCTAAAAGCCTTGTGTGCGTGTATATATATATATATATATATATCCCGGAAGCGAAACAGAATAATTTAGTTAGGGTGCTTTCTTCTTTTCTTTTCTTCATGGGATTTACATATATTATTATTAATACTTATGGCGTTTTTGTTTCCTCAACAAAAAGAGTAGAATTTGTCTTTTCGGCATATGGATGGCAAATCTATAACCTAAAATTCTTTTCCGTTTGAGTTTCCGAATCCATTTAGTACATGTTTCTTAATTTGTTTTATTTGATTAAAATATTTATATTTCTTGGTTGCTATGAAAATATATTTCACTATTTCGATTACTTTTGTGTCAAGCTCGATATTGACCGGCTGTTGACTTGCCAGAATCAGGAATATTTTTGCCTTTTCACTTAATTTAAATTTTTATTAAATTTAAATCATTAAAAATATTATAAAATTCAAATTTAATATTTAATTATTAAAATATTATTTATATTTTTTGTTACAAAAATATTATTTATTAATTTAAAATATTATTATAAAATTTTAAAATTTACATTATTTTTAAAAAATTATAAAAAAAAAAAATCTATTTTTCTTCACCACGTTCTTCATCGGGCGACTCACCTCCAAGTTCAGATTCAGGAACTCCACCTTCGGAAGACGACGGTGGCAGCAACAGCGGTTCATTGCCGTCACCACCATCTAACAATAATAAAAATTCTCCGCCACCACCCGACTATAGTAAAAGCAACAAATCTCCACCACCACCGCTCACCACCCCCACCGCCACTGCCACCACCCGACAGTAGAAATAGCAACAAATCCCCACCACCACCGGTCACACCCCCACCGCCACCACTACCTCCCCCACCTCCTCCGCCACAATGAAAATTCAACCCGGGAAAGAGACTCTAAATCCAACAAAAACGAGCCAAAGCCAAATTTTAGTCACCCAATTACGTCTCGGTTTGGAATTGATATAATGTTTCTTCCACCCTTTAAGTCAACTTTGTGTCCGATCAGATTTGCAGCTTTTTATGTTCTTTTTTCCCATTCCCCTGATTTTCTGCTCAGATTGAGATGTAATGATTGATGGTATGATGTAATTAAGTGATTTTATAATGCAATGCTTCTCTTCAGTTCTTTAGTGTCTATCAATATTTGGCCCTGAAATCTCAGTGACATTTATGATCGTGATTTTATTTCTTCCCAATTTCTACATTGCAGCACTTGTGGGATTTCCAGATAATCAAATGAAATGAATTTTTGTTTTATCTTTGCGCGATTTGGGATGGTATAATCCAAAAATTGAATTGGATGATGGTAATGGTGGAAATGGATGGCTCAAACGATTGATCAAGTTATCATTTAGCTATGGTTTTTCTCTTGTTTGGAACTTTGGATGGGTTTTGCTTGACGTTATCGTTCTCTTTCCGGCGATGGTAGTGGTGGGGATGGATGGGTTTTGTTTTTTTTTTAATAATATGAAATTTGAATTTTATAATATTTTTAATGATTTAAATTTAAATAAAAATTTAAATTAAATAAAAAAGACGAAAATATCCTTGATTCTGGCAAGTCAACAGCCGGTCAACATCGAGCTTGATGGAGAAGTTGTCGAAACAGTGAAATGAGACCAAAAAAGTTTGAAAATATAATGTTTGGGACTATGATATTGAAATATTAATGTTAACGACGTAAATTCAAGTAAGTCCAAATGTAAAGGACCATTTGGACATTTTACTCAAATAAAAATTGTCAAAAAAAGATAGAATCAGAATCAAATAAAATATCTTTTTACATTTTTATAGTTTAATAAAAATTTGCACCATCTGAGTAATCAATTTCATGAATGTTTGCGAAAAGCTTTTCAACCAAATTCAAAAAGAAATTTGCTAACATCAGCAATGCAATTTATCTATAATAAATAATTAGTTTCTAAACTTAAATTGGTACCTTTTTTTGCTCCTCATCAACTTCATTTGTAGTAAAATCGTCATTTGGATTTGATTATTTGGTCTTCAATCCTTGGAAATTCTATGTAAAACATGAACTTTTGATGAGTCCAAATTTGTTTCAAAAGCCAGAATGTAAAATAGTACTCCATCTGTTCCAATATTATTATCCAGTTTGAAATTTTATTTTGACTATTATTGAAACTAAAAGTCAAAATCTACACTAGACAATAATTTATGGACGGAAGAAGTATATTCATCCTTCTGGAACATTTGATAACAGACTCATTGTTACTCTTGGGTTGCAGTCTCGAATATGGTATCATGTATAATTTTGCAATTTGGGGAGAAGAAGACCCTTTTTTTATTTAGTCAGAAAACCCTTTCTGAATTGAATCAGTGCGTAATTGTAATTCACCATTGAGAGGTGAAGCATTTTTATAGCTTTCGGGTTCCAATGGGGAGTTTAATTTGGGAAGAAGATATGGGCAAAGATTGTGGCAATGGTTGTAGTTTTTTCTGGATGACAAAACGTGCAGATGGGAGTAAGTTTTTGAAAGTTATCTTACCGATATGAGAGGATGCCTTTGTGAAATGGATTTTTTAAATTTAAAAATAAATAAATAAAATTTTTGTCACTTTGGGAGTGTGTCACGGAAGGTTTTTTTTTTCTCCTATAGGAGAAAAACGAGTAATATTTCGTTGTTTATTTAGGATTTTTTTTGTTCTGGACTTGAATTAGGAGATTTTATTTTATTTTTATTTTTTCAAGCATAAAGGCCGCTACGAAATATTATTAAATCAAGATTATGGCCTGAGGTTTTGGCAATCGCAACCACAACTTTTTATGGTGTATAGGTCAGAAATTATGAAATTATTTTTTTTGTTAAATTATTTTTGAGAATTTGATGAGGAGATTTTTAAGAAAATAAAGGCACTTGGATTTTTTTGGAAGAAAAGTGATTTTTGCTATAATGGGGATTATTATTATTATAGATAGATTATAGATAGATAGATGTGCGATTTAGTTAACTAACTAGTGGGCTAAAATATTTTTTTAAAAAACTAAATTTTGTCAATTTGGGTTGAATGAACCAATTTGGAACGCAACAATCGAACTTCTATGCAATATACTACCTCTATTTTTTTTGTTATCAATCGTATTAGGGTGTGCAAAACTTTTTTTTCTGTTGAACTTTATTTCTAATGTAATATTAAATAAATTTTTTTCAAATTCACCCTTATATTAACGACACCTACCTATTTTTACTTCTACGTCAAATTTTCATAGAGTTTTAATACTTATTTTCATACTACATGTGCGTATCCTAATGCGGTAAATAAATAAACGAAGCTATTTGTCCTTCCCGTAAAGTGAAATTAAGGTTTGCTTTGTCTGGATTAAAAGTCAACGCTTCAAAAAAAGAAAGTCAACATGGATTCAATGTAGTCTTTTCTTCATTTCGGTTTAGAATGATCTATCGAATGACATACTAAATGTGAAAGAACTTTTAAGTGTAAGTTTTATGCGATACTATGTAATTTTCTTTTAAAACAAAAAAAAATGTGAAATATCCTCAAGTAATACCCCGATTAAAAAAAAAGTGAAAGGAAAAAAACTAACAAGGAAAAAAAGATAAAATGATCATTTTAAAATTACCTAAATAACATCATATGGATTTAACAGAAATCACAAAGTGTTGAAGACCACTGTGTATATACACCAGTTGATCATGCATGTAAGACCCATGCTAATTGGGGGTAAAATGAAGGTTCCAATACGAAAAATGACACAAATATGCTCCCAAAGTGGTGGTATAAGCAGGACTATGGCTAGGTTTTCGGAGGTCGAAAGAAATATGTTTCTCGCATTTGGCAAATGCGGAAAAACCAACTTCCACATTCAGCAAATGCGAAAATGTATTGAATTAATTACAATGCATTAAAGACGTTGGATTAAAACTGGATAATTATAATTATTTTAATTGTTCGCATTCGGGGTATGCGAAAGTTAACTTTTCGCATATGCCATATGCGAATGTTTTAAATTTGTATTTAAAAATTGTTTCCTAACTTTAAATTGGTATAAAATGAAATGGTGTAAATTAAATATTTCGGTTGATAAAATGTTGTAATATTTCAACAAAAAAAATGCTATTTTAATTGAAAATTAAATTTTCTAAATTTAAAGTATTCATTTGATTTAAGTAAATTTATGTTAGTTCTAAATAGAATTGCAATCCAAAAAATTATATTTGGTGAACAGAAATCGTATAATGCATTTATAATAAAATTTGAATAAGAAGTAAATTAAAATTTCGGTGAAAAATTAGAATATAATCTTGCGTTTTGTAACCAAGTTTGCTTTTAAAAAAATTGACTTTTATTTGATTTCAATTTAAAAACTTACCATCATAAAAAATATAATGTCAAAAAATCAAGTTTATTAATTTTAGGATAATAATATTTTTTACATAATAAAACTTAGAATCAATTCATTTAAAGTAAGGAAAAAAACTAAAACTTTTAGAATCTGACATAATATAAAGGAAAATGGCAAAAATATAATGTGGTCAATGGCCTCAGATCACATTTGCACAGTACCACAATGAAAATTGAACAAGAAAGTGCTTCAATAAAACGCTCTGAAGAGCTGCTTCCAAGAAGATTATTCCAGGTTGACGGTTGACATTGACACCATCAGGAACAATCATATTTTCTTGCTTTCATCTAACATAATCAGTCCTGCTAAACTTGATAAAACCACACTTCCTTCTAACAATGATCTTTTGGCGACCTGGAAACTTGAATTTGGCACGACGAAAAAGATAGTATTGTATAAAAGTAAGAGTTAAAAAAATTGTACATAATATTGTCTTTTTGAGAAATTTTCTTCTTTAATGTTTGCCTTTTAATTTTTTTTTTTATCTTAAAGATTAAATAAAACCGAAATAAATTGTTAATGAAAAGAAATGAAAGGTATTGCTTAAAACTAATAACAAAAGTCATAAAATAGCATAAAATAAAAATACAATTCAATCTAATTTTTCTACATCTTGCGCTTTTCTCCCGAGAATCATCATGCAGCACTTTTCTTCTTCTTTATGTTCCGCTGTCCCTTACCCAAAGCAATCGGTGTAAAAGGCATGGTACCATTCGGGGCCCCGTCCCGATCGCGCCCTCATCATGATCATGAGAGGAATGCTCAGCATCATCAGCATCATCATCATGCTCCTGATCCCGAATATCCTCATGATCTTGATCATCTTCCTGATCATTATGGATATCGTCATCACCTAGATGCTGACTATGATGACCACCCTCGTAACTAGTCTCAAAGAAACCCCCAGCATTAGGATCTAGATTAATAAAATCTGAATCAAAATGCATTTGCTCAAAAGGAGGAGAGGGATGGTGGTGTGGCGATGCTGGACGGTAAGGAGACACATGCGGGGTAGAAGATTGCCCGCCGGCCCAAATGCCCAAAAAATGTACCTGCACACCTTCTTCTTCCGATTCTTGGTATCTTTAGTGAACTTAAACTGCATACGGGTATCTGGGTTCGCTTTGAGCAATGCTTCCCGAAAACTGGGCAGTTGTTGAAAGTTGTTTTCCCATGTGCCATACAGACTCTCAAGTACTTTTCTTCGACCACGCCATGCCTTTTTGTAATTGGGGGTGACCCTGTATCTCTTATTTACTTCGACTTAGATCTGCGCAACTGAATAACCTGGATCTTTTCGGACATTGGCTGTGATCAATCGAGCAATCATTGTGGACGTCAAGTTACGACCTTCGTTTCTTGTGGTTGCACCAAGACAGTTGTGGCTCTCGACCCATACCACCATTCTCCAAGTATTTGTGTCTTTTTGCAGGGTAGCTCGACATTTCCACAAGCAAGTAGTGCCGTGGAGAAGTTCTTCTGGGTACTTCGGCCCTTTAGTCTCGCATTCAGTGGCCCACGTATAGGGACGGCTATATTTTACCCGACATGCCCGACCCTGTCGCAATGTCCATTCCCCCACAGCTGTTTGTACCTCTTTCTTGTTAGCAAAATGTACACCATGTCTAACCGTCTGCCAATTACCGTCCCACATTGTGATCCCATCAGAATCCTCATCCAGTTCAGACTTGTCCATGTCACTGATGTCGTCAAAAATAGAAATTACTACTGAAGATGCGTCATGGTCACTGTAATCATCATCAGACTCATCGGACGGCACATACTCCTCGTCACTGTTCGCATGTACGTCATCTTCTGTGTCATCGTCATCTTCATTGGTACCACCAAAACCACTACTCCCTGCACCATCATACTGACCACCACTAGTTCCTTCCCCAACATCTTGAACAGGTTCATCTGCAACCTCTACGTACAATGCTGGACGCAAATGGGCACCTCGGTAAATCCATGACATTGACTCGTCGTCTCTTATGGGCGCTTGCCCCCTTCTGCCGTAATCATCTGTGCAGGCTAAAACATATTGCAGAGGAAGTATTTGTTGGTTCTCAGATTCTAACAGCCTGTGTACATAATTATCAAGTTCAGAGAAACTCCACACTCGATCGATACGAACTGTTACATCGGGTGTAAATAACTTCTCCCCATATCCCAGACAAGATCGATCACTAGACCAGAATATATTCAGATCGAAGGGACCCGGAAAAGACATATTAAGGGCCTGCACATTTAATTTTTATTCAATTAAACATACAAATACATCAATTCATGCTTGTTATAACAATATTCTACCTCACTAGCAGTAATTTACTCCAAAAACTAACAATAAGTCCTATCTTTAGTGAAAAATCTCTAACATAATTTAATAATTCAAAAAATATAATTCGACATCTATATAACAAAGTTTTCAATTAAAAGAATAACAAATTTTGATCAAACTAATAAATTTAGATTTACACAATGTATTTGATCAATTAAAACTAAATTTATTCAACAATACATGAATTTAGCACTCAACGCTAGTGATAAAATATAAAATTAACAGAATAAAAAAAATAAAACAGGGTCAAATCAATAACATTACAAATAATTGGGTCAGAATATAAAATTCACAAAATTGAGGTATAAAGACCAAAATTCGAGATCAACCGAGTTATTCTCTAAATTAATAAAATAACTCATAATATTCAACAAAATTCAACAATTCACATCATAAAAATAATTTTTATTCTTCATTCTACATCAAATATATATTTATTGAAGCAAATTTTCTAAAACCAATTCTCAATAACTACCGAAATTATTAAATTTAGTAATTTCGTACACCACAACAACATTAATAGCCCTAAATGACAATAGAATGTATAAATTTTACAAATTTCATAGAGAAAAAAAACTTACCTAAATGGGTTGCCTCTGTCCTGCTCCCGTTCAGTCCAACCATCCAACCTTCAATATAAAAAATGCCTCTTTCCTACTCCGCCTCTTCCACCGGAATGAAAATTTCAATTGAATGCAAGAAGAATTGATGGTTTTTAGTTCTGCCGATTTGGGGGTGATGAGTTTTAAATTATGAGTCTAGCCATCACATTCGCATTCGCTAAATGCGAACATTTATCCAAATTGTCAGCAATTGCCACGTGTCGATAAGGTATTGACCAATCAGATTTTAATAGGATAAAAAGATAATTTCGGTTTTTTTTACCTATAATTTTTTGTTCGCATTCGTTGAATGCGAAAATCTTATGATGACTCACATCTTCCTTTTTCCTTCCGTGTCTGCTTTAATAATTCATATATTAAGATATTCGCATTCGTCAAATGCGAAAGTATTGTGATGGCCCACACTTTTCTCTTTCCTTTCTGTGTCAAGTTTAATTCATCATATATTAATATGTTCGCATTTGGCAATTGCAAAATTTGTGTGATGGCCCACACTTTTACTTTGAGTTATCTCATTTGTTGATATTATTTGTTTAAGTTGAACTAATTAATTACGTAAAGATGTTCGCATATGTTAAATGCGAATACCAGTTTGTTCGCATACCACAAATGCGAGAAACATATAAATTTCTACCCCTCCAACCCTAAGAATACTTTTTTCTACTAACTAAAATTTGGGTACACTAAACTCACGGACCCGGTTGCGATAGCCGAAACTTGTTGATGAAACATCCTAATTAAATAAGATTCGATTATTGAATCTCTAAGAAGTTGACGTAGAGATGTATTATAAGGGCCATATCCAGGATCACATTCCCACGCTAAGTAAATTTGAGTGTACACTATATAGTTACTGTTGGAAATAAATGAATGTCAAATTGTCGATGACCCCGAATTTTTTACATTAATTGTAAAAGAAGAAAAGTTGAGCATTGTTGTTTGCCAAATTTTTGTGTAAATAGGAATGCTCAAGCAGCGGAAATTTTGCACTAAATTAATCATTTTCTTCTTCCTACTTCTTTTGGTTTAAAAAGCAAAAAAGTATTACATTTCTTTCTTTCTTCTCAACTCTTATAAGTTATACCCCTCTATTTTTTTTTATATGTCTTTCTAGAGAATTCATCAAAATCAAGAAAATATTAAATAATGTAGTTAAAATATAAAAATATCCTTATTTATTTTCTATACAATTCATTACAAACCAATAGAAATTCATTATAAATATTATTTCATTCCCAATGCAGGGGTAACATTGGTAAAAAGTGGTCAAATGTGTCTCGATTTGTGAAAACAATATATATTTAAAAAAAATTCACCAAACCCTAAAATGACATATATTTCAAAATGGAGGGAGTATATATCATAATATCTAAATTATTAGAAAGTGATTATACTAAAATCTCTAGTAGAGAAGTTAGAAATATCATCACTAAAATTAATAAGTAGTATCTTTGGTTTGGATCATTGTATTTAGACTTTTGTTTTATAACAGTTACTCGATTTTATTTCTAAATATGCTGATATATATAGTGTTTGTTTGGGTTCAATAGATCCATGAAAACCTTATTGATCAATAATTCTAATAGCTAATTTTCTCGTAGAAAGTATTGACGTAGTATTTTGCTAGCATACACAAATAAATAAGAGAAAGATGAAACCGCAATTGGATGAGTCATGGGTCTCTTAATTCATTCATACAAGCAAATAAGCACAATATAAAAATTCAAATCCAAATAAAACAAAAGACGATATATTTTATTAAAGCACACACAAACACAATCGGAATACATCAAAAATTAAGATACATCCATAAAAACAACAACAAAACAAATAATTTGAGGAGTAAACAAACTCGACCGATCACACAATGAGTACTTCAACTGGGAGATGATGACTGAAGACCACCGAATACGGAAGCCTAGGCACGTAACAAATTGGTTTCAGCAAGATATTTTTCTTCATTAATGATTTCAATCTTCTTCATCGTCTTCTGGCTTTCGAACATCATCAGGAACAGAAGTCTACCCGGTAAATGAACTTGTTACTCAATAACCAGTAATCAAGATAAACATATTTGCTTGTGCCTTGAGGATAGGTTCTAAGGTCAACCGACTCAATGTTCCATTCATCATTTAGTTCGCCGTTGGGTTTAATTGTCATGTTGCAAATCCTTTCAGTGCATGGCCTGTCAAACTGAACCATAGCCGTTTGATTCGTCCCGAAACAAGGACCGCCGGTCAGAGAATCGCATTTCGACAACAGATCTGGAACGGTAAACCCTCCAAAATCAAGCGAGAAATCTTCCACAGTTCCGGAGTACGTATTGTTTCCGGTTTTTATGAAAAGTATATGACGGCAAGTGGCTGGAGAAGGCTGCAAATAAATCAACATCAGCAAATGAATTAGGGTTGTTATTTTTCACGCTTGAGTATTGAATATCAGTCAGAGTTGCTGATAGATGAAATATTGTTGTGGAGTTAGTTACTACTATGGTCTATGGACAAATATAGGGATTATTATCACTATTAACATATATTCCCTCCCTTTTTAATTACTGTTGGTGCTGCCGCTTCTATATTAAAGTTTCATAAGAACTTGAGAAGCAAGAAAGAGACTGAGAGGTTGTGGAATCAAGTGAAAGTTAACTAGATTATGATCACAACGCATGCACTAGGTTCTGGCTATGCCTCATGCATGAATTGTGTACTTACTCTAGAGGGCACGTAAATGAATGGTTGCTTTTCTTGTTAATTAGCATATTAAATAACATCAGTGTAACTGGATATTCTAAAAATAAAGATCAATATAATTCGATAACATACCGGAGGTGGTGCCATAGGCGATTGAACGGCCTGCTGTGGTTGAGCAAAAAGAAACAATCCCAAAACCACAAGTGAAAACAGCTTCAGGGGAATCATCTTTATTTGAACTTTTGATTGCTTGATATATGTGCTAACTGATGAGACTCAGAATAATAAACTGATAAATGTAGGTGCAATTTTAACAAAAGAGAGAACTAGGTTCTTAAATACTGAACTCTCAAATGAGTGGAAAAGTAGTAGTAGGAGGAATTGTAATTGTACAACCTGATGGTGATCAGTATGAAATTGTGGTTTATATAGAATAACCACAACTAGACAAAGAAATTCTAGGCCCTTCACTTATTCAATAATGGCGAAAGATTGTCTAATCTATTGATTTCAGCAATCATGCACAATATTTGTTTAAACCAACCAACCAAAAAAACGTTATCTCGTTATGTCCAAATTAATTATCTTTGTTGCAACAAAAAGAAAAAAAAAATGTTAAGGGGGCGGAAAGTTAAATAACCGAAATAATGTTTAGGAAAAGGAAATAATGGAATCTTGAAGGAATTTTGATTTGTTGAATATTAAGTGAAAGGCTAAGGATTATCTCTGTATTTTACTTTTAATATTCATTCATGTGAAGTGTGGGTTTCTTAGAAAAACTATTGTGATAAAACGTTTATGTGCAGTATTATTAGTTTAGTGATATTAAAGGAAAAAAAACAATACCTCCCACGCGGGCAATGATACTGATCATTGTTATTTAGCACCTAATTAGGTAAGATATAGACTTTATGAAGCTCATTACAATTGAATTGATGGCAGGAAGTTGTTGATTATTATTCAGCTCCGATGCTTTGGTTTCCCTTTCACTTTCACTACCCAGTTTTCTTCTTCTCCTTCTTTTTTCTTTTAATTTCTTTTGGGTGTTAATAATTACATAGTTCTTTTAAAATAATTTCAACACCAAGCACGCACTTCGTGTCATCTTTAACAATTGAGAAGTAGCAATGTATACTTTTACAAATCAATTAATTATCCATAGTTTAGGGCCAGGTGGAATGATATGAGGTTAGCCTGGGCCTAGGGGTGGTTCTTATTGCCAAGTCCAGGGCTTCTTTTTTTTTTTTTTTTGTGGCAATCCATTTTTCAATAAATAAATATTGTTCATGGTTGCATAAAGTTGTCCTTATAATGTTCCAAAAAAAAAAAAAATCAAATTACTCTTTTTCTTTCATAATAATAATCTCATAATAAGTTTGGATGACAAAAGTAACAAATCAACGTCTATAATTATGTAATTCTTGGTTCTTTCACTTTCAAAATTCATTCACCAAAAAAGAAAAACAAAAATAAAACTTTCAAAATTCATTTCTAAAAACAGTCTCAATACGACTATTGAAAATGACAAATAGTCTCAAAGAAAATCCCTACCGTCAATGCTAATTATTAATCATTTATTCCTTCTAGTAGTACCTAATTGCTTAAGAGTATTTTAATAGACGCAAGCAAACCGTATAATGAGATTCTGAGAAATTTCAAAGTCAAGATTCGAACCTATTTTCAATCATTTTAGCTGGATTTTTAACTGGAAAAATTGGCCGATCTACCCAAATCTTTACATGTGTTATCAATTCTACCTTATTCTTTTTCGATTAGCCGATATTACTCTAAACTATCAAACTGTTAACCGATTTTGTCCAATTTACCAGTTTCTGATTAAATTAACAGAATTCTGTTAGTTTTAATTATAAAAATATCCTAATAGTTTAAAAAATTATAAAAATGACCCCAAAAAATTTATAAAAATAACAAGTCTCTTTTCACTTTTTATTTATTTTTTCTTCATAACTATAAAAATATACTATGTGATCTACTAAAAAAAAAGTATTTTAAAACTCTAATGTAAAAACTTTATAATTACATATTTGTAAGTCATGTTTGATTCACATAAACATATTAATTTTTTATTAATATGGTTTAACACTAATGATATTATTTTTTTAATCTTTTTTTTTCAATCTAAAGAATAAGATTATTTAACTAAAACTGATTTTGCACCAAAAAAAAAAATTAGCATAGATTAAAAAAGAATTTATTGGTTTACTTTAATAGTTAATGTATTACAAATTCAACAGACTTCAGATTGCATTATAAAATTAAAAAAATAAAACTAAAATATAAATTTTCTTCTAAAGGCCAAGTAAAACAAAAAGTAAAAAAAAAAAACTCCTATTTTGTTTCTACATTTGGCCCAACACATAATATAGTGTCGTGAAATTTACAAAAATGGTACAAAATATTATATAAAAAATATGTATATTTATCACTGCGAGGGTTTAACATTTTGCGATATTTTTTTGAGATATTAATATATTTAACTTTAGCAGGAATCGTATTAAAAAAAAATCTACTCAAATACTAGACTCAACCTTTTAAAAAAAACAAAAATTAGATTTCCCCAGTGAGAATCGAGACCTCGAAGATAGTAATAATCATCTCACATCTTAAATCACCTAACATCCAACTCAACCCTCTCAACTTTAGTGGACTCCGCTTAAATGTGGATAAAATCACTCTCTCGATTAGAAATCCTTTAGTGAGAATTAATCTTATATCTACTCTCATGAAACTCAACACCCTAAACACTAAATTGTACCATATATTTTAGTTTAATTATTATTTTTTAATTAGATGAAAAAAATAATAAGTTTCAGTCAAAAACATCTTATTCCTTAAATTGAAAAAAAAAGGATTAAAAAATAATATCATTATTGTCTAGTCATATTATTAAAAAAATTAATATGTTTATGAAAATCAACCGTGAGTCACAAATATGTATATCTAAATTGATACAATAGTGTTTAAAAATAAAATTACTTTTTAAAAGATCATATAGTATATTTTTATAGTTATGAAAAATAGTAAAAAAAAATAAAAACAGAAAAAATTAAATAAAAAGTGAAAATAGACTGTTTTATTATTTTTATAAATTTTTAGGGTCATTTTTAATAATTTTAAAACTATTAGGGTGTTTTTGTAATTAAAACTAACAGAATTCCATTAATTTAAATGGAAATTGGCAAATTAGACAAAATTGACTAACAGTAGGATAGATTAAGGTAATATCGACTAACCGAAAAAGAATAGAGTAGAATTGACAACGCATGTAAAGCTTTGAATAGATCGGCCAATTTTTCCATTTTTAACTCATTCAAATTAGATATATAAGAATGATTTTGTTTGATCTCGATTTGTATCTTGGATGCAATTACCATCGCCTACACAAGGACTGTTAATTCTTGATAGACAATCTACACATTATGTATGTACTAGCCGAATATTACACCACATGGATTACATATGCCCATTATATATATATATATATATATATATATATATATATATAGAGCGGCTAGAGTCCCGTTAAGGGATGGTTACGTTTTAAGATAATAACCGTGAGATCAATTAAGCTAATTAACAACCGTAGAATAAAAATGAGGGTGCATCATAGGTAAATATACCTAAACACACCTGATTAAACTGAAAAAATTAGAGAAATTGGTCAATTTTGCCCAAAGCTTTAAGTGTCTAACTAATTTGATCCAAAAACATTTTTGCGAAGCCAACTCCATCATCTAAGTTTCAATTTCTGGCCAATTTCATCTAATTGACAAAAATTCCGTTAGATTTAACGCCTCCGCTGACATTCTGTTACGGATAAAATGACGGTTGTACCCAAAGTTTTAACCCCGTCGTTAATTTTATCCCATTGATTTTTAGTTAGCCAATTTTGTCCTTTAAATTTGAAATTTTTGCCAATTTCATCCAATTGGCCCAGTTTCTGTTAAACTTAAGGGATTTCGGCTAATTTTTAACAAAAATATATCTCAATAGTATCAAAAAGTTATAAGAATAACCCCAAAATATGTAAAATCAACAAAATAATCTCTTTTTATTATTTATTTCTTTATTTTTATTTCATTTTATTTCTCTTTACTACTTTTTATAAACATCAAAATATTATTTTCAAACTCTATTTTTCATGTGCAAACATGTGAGTTTAGTTCAGAAGTAATTTTGTCATATTTTTTAAATTTTTAATTAATTTTTTTTATTTTTTGTTATTTACTATTCTTTCTTTTATACTTCCTGACTTGTATCTATTGCTACTAGTATAATTACGAAATTTCATTAATTAATTTATCTTCTATTTCATAAAGTATAAAAAAAGTTTGAAAAATAAAGAAAATGAGGAAGAAAAAATCGAGTTGAAATAAATACGAAAATTAATAGGTCATCATATCTTAAAAAAAAAAAAACTGCTAAGACAAGTCTTTCCTCCTTGACTTCTTGTAATTCATAGGTAAGTTACGAAATATAAAATTTACTCGATCTAGCCTAAAATGATTATTTTGTTTGTGATAGTAAAAATAATATAAAAATTAGATAATTATTTGAAATAGGAAAAAGTGTTAATTTATTTAGTCCACGATGATGAATTGTTTTAAATTTGGTTAATACCATTTTTATTCTTTTTTAGTAATTGTTATTGTTACTTTGCCGAAGGCTAAACTATATAAGCAATCATTAAATTTCATGACAAAGATAAATACGTTTATTTTTTAACAACATATTTTTTAATATTTTTTTAAACCTCGAAATTGAATTACAAAAGGTAAAATTTTTTTTTTAAATTTAGTAATTATACTAGTGCCAACATATACAAGTCAGAGAGTACAAGAAGAAAATTGTTAAAAAATAAAATAAAACAAATTAAAAAATTTTAAAAAATATAAAAAGACAAAATTACCTCTCAACATGCACATGAAAAATATTGTTGAAAATAAATAATTATTTTTTAAAGATCATATAGTATATTTTGATGGTTATGAAAAGTAGTAAATAGAAAAAAAATGAAATAGATTAAAATGAATACAAGTGAAAAGGGGATATTTTGTTATTTTTACATTTTTTTAAGCAAGAAAAAGGATGAAAACGACGTTCAGGTTGCGGATAACTCAAAAAATATTTTATAACTTATCTTTATACTATTTTGAAACTATTGGGGTATTTTTATTAAAACTAACGGAGATCCATTAAGTTTAACG